GCATTGAAGGAATGCAGATGGAGGAGAAGAAAAAGGAAGCACACGTAGGCGTTGGAGAAGCAGCAAACCCCATCTGGGCTTTTCAAAAACTACTACAATTGGATGTGCACGCAAAGGATTCTATTTTAGTAAATTGTAATATATACATAAAGACGAATTGTACAAAAGTCAGATCACCCGTGAACCGAAATTGTGTGGGCTAATCTCCTCCTCTTCTGACAGGCGATCAGCCGCGATCCGATCCGTCCGATCTGCATGAAAGAGGGCTGCTCAAAATCCACCCGCTATTGCTATTACTTTATTTGAGGCTATGAGGTCTCAGATTGAATGAGTTATGATTGAAATCGAGATACTGAGTCGTATCAGCACAAAAAAAACACGGAATTCATACACTGCATGGTTGTGTTTAAATCTAACCGAGAGGGAGGAGGTCCGACATTTGATTTTTATAAATGAGGCGTTCACAATCCATTCATTCATCTGGAATTATTAATTTGTGATTGCATTATTAAATAGCTATGGTCAAAAAAACATGGGATCTCCATCAATTCAAAAAAGCGACTTCGACACATTCAAGCAGGCGGTGGACTTTAAGGCTCCATAAAAGGCATTGAGTCTTGATGAGAGTGTAAGAGTTCTAACCCGAGAATCTTCCTATGGATTATCGAAAAATTCATTCAGAACTTTATAATCATGTTCTTGCAGATACTGTTAATCATCATTATGTATTCTACTGAAACTTGGGAAGCACTTTTATTATCTAGGAAGACTAGGTAGTAATTACGTTACTAATCATTTAAGTTGTTATGTAATACGTTAATAGCTCGTTTAACTCCCAGCGGGCTGGCTTTAGAGCCGCGCCAGTAGCTCTTAGGTCCGTTTATACGTCGATAATGCATATTCCGCACTACATTGTCTTAATTTATCTCTAGGTAGCGAGAAGCGAATTCTATCTTAAAGAGCAACTATCCTGATTTCTTCTGCTGGATTATAAACCTTATCGAGGAGGAATTGGTACCTATGCTGCGGATGGGAGAATATGTGACGACCTCTCTCAGAGGGTCTGGAAATGAAGTCCACTCTCGGCAACCATCCAGTCTGTATTGTGCAGGAATGCTATTGACAAATGAAACGACACTAGCAGTGGCCATGAACCATCTGGAAATGTTCGCTACGGGGCTGTCTACCGCAACTCCAAGAAGATATCAATTATGTGGACGCGTGATACCTCCTCCACTTCCAAACTACCTGAATGGAACCCAGATGGGTATGGCTGGGCGGTCCTATAGTGGAAACAAAGTAAAATGGGAGAATAAACACGAAGCCCTATGCCAATGAACTATGTTAAACGCTGTTCTTGGTTATATGACCGTCAATGTGGTGCCTTGACACTTCCTTGGGGACGAAAGAAGACATAATACTCGGACAGAATATGAATTTCTAACTTACAGAAAGGATAGGGGGATACTGGTACAACCCAGAGACCAGGGCGAGCAGCGAAGGTATAGTGGCAGAGTAACTATGTGGCCCGTTGCCAAGACTGAGAGTTAATCAAACAATCAACCTTTTACATTTATTCACAAAGCCACACACCTAGATTGTATAACAAATCTCACTAACCCATTGTTAACTAAAACATGCATTCGTACAAACTCATGCCGAAGAAACTTTTCTAGACAGGGTCAATTAAAGTTCTGCCTAAATTTGGTCGAGAAAATGAAGTAAATCGAAATGAGACATTTTGAGGCTCAGTGCAATCGGTCCTTAAAGGTCTCACACAAAACGGTGTTTTAGCCATGTCGTTTGAAGAAATTGAATGTCGACTTCATCTAAATGGCTAAGAGATCTAAAGGCATGCATTCACAAAGAAACTCATATCAGATTGAATCCTACCTACCAAGATAGTAGAGTTAGAAGTAACCAAATACACTACTTCCATCAGTTTTAAATACAACACGTGGTCATACATGGAGTACGATACTTAAAAGATGGAGTACGAGGAAACGTACTTATTGGTATTACTTTCACATGCATGCATAAATCAGCGCCTTCCCCTGAATGTGTCTTTTTCTCTGGTGGCCTCTTCCAACCCAGATTGTTATTCCTCTACTGGTAAGTTACTTTGATTTAAGTCGTCAAATTATGAGAGTGAAACCCAGTATTTTCGTTACTTTTTCTACCGTCAAACAAATGGGCCGTAATGATGCGAGCAAACGCTACAGAAATATGCCTAACATCCAAATTTTCGCTAGACTCCAGGGTGAGCTGTAGCAGGCTGAGGTTGACCCCAGGCTGTGCGCTTCATATCCCCATCCTTCCCACCCCTCTGCATATTACTGGTAATAATACCTTTTATACCTGTCTGCCTAAGTACCGTTTATTGGGGTGGGTCAAAGGAACAGATCGTGTTTTGCTTGTTTGCTCTTTAATCCTATCCAGGAAGTGTCGTTTATATTAAAATTAGAAGTTTCAGAATCGAAATTTAGGACAAATTTTGCCTTGAATAATTGTGTATGGCATACCACTAACATGTCGCATAGACTAGTTCATGGAAATGAGAGATATGATAAATAGTGTATAATAAATGCTCTATTTTAGCTCATTTTCATGCCCATTTTAGGCAAGATTTAAAATTAATGGCGTTGATGGTAAACTAGTGCTAACCTCGAATAGTTCAAGAAAAAAATGGATAGGTTTTGGCCTTCCATTTCGGCGAACATTTAAATTCATCTGAAATTCAAGTTATTTATCTAGATAGCCTACACCGATCATGAGAGGGGTCAAATAAATTTTTTCTAAATTTGAAAGGATTCCAAAACGGGAACTCGAAACAATGAAAACATTTGGCACACCTATATGTAAGTATTGTATCGCCTCGAGACTACCTTGAAGACGGAAGATGAGTGGCACAGAGGCCAGACCGCCCGAGGGTGGTATAATGGCAGTCCCCAAGTGGCCCCTTACCAAAACTGAGACTTAAACAAACACTTAAGGTTTTACAGGATAGAACGTTAATAGTGACTGTGCACTTCACTACGCGAGCTCTCCAGCCATTTTAGCTGGTACTTTCATCGGGGTGGTAGAGCTAAAGAGTCATGCCCACAGCCTCCTTGCCCTTCTGTGCGTCAATTATGTCTTCAATTCCGGTGTCGCATATTAGTAACAGCCAGTATAGGCATAAAAATAGGTTGGTGATGGAGCGATTTGGTTTTTAACTGTGTTTAATTACATGGGCACATGAGTCTCGGCATATTGAGCTGTGGCTCTGTGGCGAGGCCTTCGGGCCATGCTAGTAGTCTCTCAATCCTTCTGTACTTTGGCTCGTTGCGATTTCAGCAGAGATACAGGGCAATACATTGGTCGCATCGCCTAGCAAACCCAATCCAATAGGGCAACCATCCTGACTTCTATGGGCGATTGGAAGAAGGACATCTGCCGTGGATGAGCAGTTTTGCGAAGATTCGTAAAAGAAGAGCTAAAAAAAGTGATATTCCTCTTGCAAGCCATCCATGTTCTGCAAGCGATACTGAGGCGATACTAGATTCGAACCATTTTGAAAAGACCACTACAGAGCTACCCGCGATGTTAATTTCATAAGCAAGTGGTACTTCCAAGATATCTCTGCTAACTGAATGACACTCAGAGAGGTAGATAGCTGAACAGCGCTGAACTGAGCATAAACTGACATGGAGGAACAGAAGCAAATATTAGATGTTTTAAGTCTTATCCTTTAATAAACAGTTTAGCTTTTAGATTATTGTGCTAACGACTGGCGATTGGCATATGAGACACCCTCGTCGCGGAGCGTCAATCGGTCTTGAACAGTGCAAATCCAGTGATTCCTTCTCTTCCAATGCAGCTAACGAATAGAACGAAACGTTGAATACAGTTGGAATCAAATGCCTTTTCACATTGAGGGAAATTAAATTACCGGCTCTCCAAAACCGCGAATCGTCGTGTCTATCGACTACGTTGTGATGACCGACGCAGCACGTGGACCGTCGGGGACATTGCTCAAAAGTGGGGGTCGTGCATTAATCTGATATTTCGCTTACCATATTTTTTGAAATAGGTGGAAAAAACAGCCACTGAAGCCTTTACTTTTACTTTGTGGTATGGTAGTCGGGGTATGCTAATAGCCTGCCGGATTCTTTTCACGTTGGTAGTGTATACTACAACTTGAGCTAACCCTAAGGGCACTGAGGCTATTCACACTAAAGCATTTTGTATCCGAAATGCGGTATGATAGAATCTTACTGGGACCGGAGTAAAGTTGCCTTGTGCGTATAAAAAGCTAATGCAGACATTATTCGATGATGAAATTTATTTGTGGCTCCAAAACGGTTCGCAAGATCGTCAAGACTACTTGTGTATTCCTTACGGAACACTGCTTTGGCATACAAAACAAATTTTTACCGAAAACAAAAAGATAAAATACTTACTTCATATGCAAAAAGGCTACTTAAGGCAAAATGTTTCCTCTTTTTACTGGATCTAATTTGCAAAATGCTGATTTTGTTTTAGTAGGCTCATTTGCTCCAAGGCTCATATGTTCCCATTTTACACACGGGGTATGTCATATTGCGAAAATGCGCGTTAAAGTGCTGTTCTCTCTGTACGTGCGGTACAAAATTTTTAGATTTTGTATAATTAGTTCACTCCTGCTATTTTTCTTTGGTGATAATGCGTTCTTTTTAGTGATGTGTACGAGTAATATGCAAGCAAGAAAATCGTCTCGTGTGCATTAAATAGCCTGTTTTCACTCAATTTTTGCATGGTTTAGGTGAAATTTAAGTGTAGAAATTGTAATTGTGCCGGTTGTTTTATTATCCGTTATTTTTTTCATTCCAGTGTATTATAGATTACCGCATTTTCCACTCCGTTTTTCGGGTCTATTGTTCTTCCTGGCTTTATCCATTTAATTCCACTTTTGTCCCCTATTTTTTTTCTTTTCATTAAAGCCTTTTTTGTCTTTGTAGGGGCTTTGGTGGCTCAATGAAATGTCAGCAAATGTTCAACCTGCCCCACCATCTGACGTGGATCAGACTTCGGGACCATCTGTCCTAACGTTAGAAGATTCAAAAGTCAAGGTCGTCGCCTTTTTAAAGAAGAGACTTAATCGTGTTAAATTGCACTACCATGAGTTCCTTGCGGAACTCACCTACCTTCAGGGCGGGGGCTTACTCACTGATTTCGAGTCCTGGCGGCGTGATCGTCCACAGGATCTCATGCACGCTCTTTTTTCCGGTCATCTTGACGCCGACGATCTTAACGGAATTAGCGCTTTTATGTCCGGTCATTTGCCAATGCATGAAATGTTCCCAATTCATGTTGACAGCTCACAAGTTGATGACATGGACGATGACTCAGATGAGGATTTTGGGGTATGATGACTCTTCACAGTCGTTTTGACCTCTAAAAACTTGTTTGCTAAATTATTTTGCAATTTTATTCCTCTGTAGAGGATCGTGGATGAGTCAGCAATACCCGTTCTCGTGCGGAAAGAGGTGGAGACACTCAAACGGGTACTCGAGTTCAAGCGGTTAGGTCTGTGGTCGCGAGACGCCACCTCACTTTCTGGTGACGACAAGCAGCGTTCCTCTGATGCCAAACCCTCACTTTCTTCACTTGCTCCACCACCAGAGTTGATTCGTCCCAAGGACCATTTGGATTACATGTTCGCTGAGATGCGATGGCTCGCCGAGGATTTCAAAAAGGAACGTCATTGGAAGAAGGTTACCGCCAAAAAGGTAAATCCTCTTTTAATCGTTACGCCATGCTCCCCCTTTCCACCTTGGCAGCTATTTTTTTCTTTTCAGCTCGCCTACGCTGCACTCAAGGTGTATAAAGAAAAAGCGGAACGCTCGCTCAAGGCTGAGCGGGACGAAGCCGCTCGGATTCGAAAACAATGTGCTCTGATCGCCCGAATGGTGCGGGATTGGTGGCGGCAGATGGACAAAGTGAGTCGTTTGTATTCTAAAGCAAAGTGCCTCTCTACACGCGTGTCTGATGTCTCATTCTTCTCTCTTAATGTAGATTGTACAAACCAAACAGAAGGCCCGTTTGACTGCCCGGCATCAGCAGGCCATGTCAACTCACCTGGGTCACGTAATAGAGACTACTGAAAGGTATACAATGTGGCTGACAGAGGGTATCATTGGAGCCAAACAGCCCACTGTCACCGATCAGGAGGCCTCTGATAAGGAAACTGCCAGAAATGAAAAGGCTAAGGAGGCTGAGCCTTCCAAAGAATCTGATGCTGAGTTTGTAGTAAGTGTCTCAGTGGCCATTCTTGGCGCAGTTATTGGGACCAAGTAAATTCTGAAATGCTTACTTACATTTATTAAAATTGTAGCGATTTAATGACGCTGTTGATACATAGCTATGACGGTAAGCCCAGTTCTTGGGACTTGAAATTACTTACAATTAAGATGAAGATAATGTTGGTAACTATTATTGTCGAATGAACATGGCGCTAGTTCTAATACTCCTTCGTAGTTTGCTAGAGCATGGCTGATTTTATTAACGGATGTTTTTATGCACATTTTATAAGCTCTGTTCTCCCAGCAGCGGATTTTGTTTCTAAGATTGGTATGTAACTGAATTGGTAGGCTGACGAGGATGAATCCACTGATGATGAAGAGACTATCGCCAAGGAAGAAGAAATGGCTCGTCGAGACGCAGATTCGAAGGAGGATGAGTCTAGAGAAGTGGCGGCCCTCTGTGCTGAAGCTGAGGCCTCCATCGATGACCTTCTTCCTCCCGGCTACCTTGAACATCTTCAGCAACTTCATGAAGCTGGGTGTATGGCGCTAAAGCGCGGAGCTGATGAGCTTTCTTCGGTGAGTAGTTCACACCTGAGTCATTGTGTCATTAAGCAAGTTTAAGTGCAGTGGTAATTATTTCCTATTTTAAAAGGAGGAGGATGAAATACCGCCAAGAAAGAAGCGTCGTCCGGACGGCCGTTTTAACAGAGTGGTCGAGAGCTCTACCGATGATGAGATGGTTGCTGAACAGGAAGCACGCGGGAGGGCCAAACGCGATTACGAAAACAATTGTGATGAAGATAATGATGGTGACAACGGGCCATCACGAAGCGAGTTGAAAGAAGTATCCCAACTTGAGGCTGAAGCCGATATGTCGATAGAGGAGCTGTTGGCTCGTTACGGACTCAAGTCGGACCAGCTGACCCACTGGAAGGAGCAAAGTAATGCTCTGGGGTCATCATCCTCATCAACTGTAGACACCAGCTCAGCCACTGATAGTGCCTCCGATTCTGGAACCTCTGATAGTGAATCCTCGTCTGAGACATCATCTGTCTTTGAAACGGAAGGGGATGATGAGGAAGCGGTAGAGGAACCTGGATTGAAGGAATTGCTCTCGGATGATGAGAAGGAGAATCTGGAGAAAAACGATTCTTCCATGCCTGATGTGAGGCCAAAAATCTTAACTCCTTTAAATATCAGTTCACATTTCCACTTCTTAAGATGCGGAATCCAGTTTTACTGTTATCTGTCAATCCTCTTGCACAACTTTAGTGTTGGTGGTGAATTTAGCATCTTGTTGACAGCGTTGAGGCCTGAAGAGCTGATGTTTTCTGGTTTTTTGACCGCTAAGGTCATCGGTAAATGATGAAAGTAAGGACCTATTAAAGTCCAAATCATTTATTTGAAGGCAACTGTATGCAATTCAGTCCCTTTGATCAGCTTGGGCACGAACCCTTCCAGATAAAAATGTTCGACACGACCACAAGACTATCGTTGATTTTCTCTTAATCCTTCCTACTTATTAGAATCCAGAGCTGAGGGCAATTGCCGATGTGGCGATGAGTGCACAGCCCCAAGGCAACACATTAGCTTCAGTGGCAGAGCCAGTTAAGGCACCCTTCCTGCTGGCGGGGACACTTCGAGAGTACCAGGTGGTGGGGCTGAGTTGGCTGGTGGCCATCTATCAGAAGCGTCTCAACGGTATTCTTGCAGATGAGATGGGTCTAGGAAAGACCATCCAAACTATTGCCTTGCTCGCTTACCTTGCCTGCGAATTGGGCATCTGGGGACCGCATCTGATTGTTGTGCCCAACTCTGTTATCCTTAATTGGGAGGTGGAGTTCAAGAAGTGGTGTCCCGGCTTTAAGATTCTCACTTACTTTGGCTCTGCCAAGGAGCGCAAGGCCAAACGAAAGGTTTGTTCTTCATCCGATTCTTATTCTCTCTTCACCGTTATAAATGAAGTTACTAGTACCCTCTAACGTGTAGTGCCAGAAGACATGAAAAATTTAGATCCAGTATTTACTATGATTGGATAGAAGGTCATCACCGTGGATAGTAAGTAATCTATGCCACAAATACGCACACTTAGTAGCACGGAGGTCGTAACATTGCTGCCTAAATGTTCACGCAACGCCTGTATGCACACGCTTCAGGTGTGATTAAGTCGCTCGGATGTTTTGGGATATAGCTTAAAATCCTGAAGGGATTGTATTTAAGTATCTTTTATCCCTGATTGGTAGGGCTGGACAAAGACAAACGCGTTCCATGTTTGCATCACATCATATCGGTTGGCGATTCAGGACAGTTCTGCATTTAAACGAAAAAAGTGGAAGTACCTGATTCTGGATGAGGCTCAGAACATCAAGAATTTCAAGTCTCAACGTTGGCAGACGCTACTTACTTTCAACAGTCAGCGACGGCTCCTCTTGACTGGAACACCCCTTCAGAACTCCCTTATGGAGCTCTGGTCTCTCATGCACTTCCTTATGCCGAACATCTTCCAGTCGCATCGGGAGTTTCAAGAATGGTTTGCGTCCCCTCTCACAGGTTTGTCGATGGCGCTTCCCGTTTTCTTGTAATATAATAATGTATCTTAAACAGGCGATAACATTTTTTAGGCATGATCGAGGGAAACAGTGAGTACAATGAGCAACTTGTGATGCGGTTGCACAAGGTCCTTCGACCCTTCCTTTTGCGTCGCCTGAAGGAGGATGTTGAACGTCAGATGCCGAAGAAGTACGAGCATGTCATCCTCTGTCGTCTTTCGAAGCGCCAACGCTACCTCTACGATGATTTCATGTCTCTATCGACGTAAGTCTCGGTCATATCATATTTACTTCCGAAATATGGTTTATTTGTTTCTTTCGAAACGTAATTAGATTGGATCAAAAGCGTTGTGCTCATTGAATAGGCATGCACGTCAAATTCCTTGTTGGTAGATTCCCTTTTTCTGAGTCATGCACTAGAACTTTCTATTCCTTTGCTCTGCATATCAGTGGCTTATTCAATAAAGTGGTCAAGAGCATCGGTGCCCCTCCAGATAAGTAATAAGCTCAGCATGACACTTCAAATTGGAGTAGGTCTGGCGTTTTCTATTAGAATTTGATAAAGTTATATCAGTAAATTATTCCCATTTCATTGTAACAAGTGACGTGATTGTTTCTTGTGTTTTGATTATTCACTGACTATATGAGCTTTTACGGATTAGCCATTGATAGAATTTTCAGTTTGCTTAATGATAGTTTCTTTTAAAATCCCCATTTTGATCTCAAATTTCTGTTCCAATTCTCCACAAATAAGTTGGCTGTTTTATCAGTTTTTGCAGATTGGTGTTGCGTAATTTTCGCGTTTGTAACTGGTTGTTCATATGGGGCCATCTGATAAAGTTCCGGTACCCACTGCAAAAAAACCATTAGAGTAAACACACCGGTTGAAACCTTTCTCCCATACTCCCTAATGTTAAGGAACTTCTATGGTACTGCTTAATCATAGCAGCTTTGGCCTGTATACCTGGCTTGCACACTGTAGAACGAAGGACACCCTGGCGTCAGGTCAGTTCCTCTCCGTCATGAACATTCTGATGCAGTTACGCAAGGTCTGCAACCACCCAAATCTCTTTGAACCACGACCCATCACCTCGCCCTTCCACATAGCCGATGGCGAGGTGCGGCTGGAGGTGCCGCGTCTGGTGGCACAGGCCTCGCAGCCTCTCCTCGTGACCTTTCATCCTGGCACACCTTCCGCGTGGACTCAGGCCCGCAGCCTCGATTGGCTCGACCGTGCCGGTGCCGCTGCTCGTCTCCTCGGTCAGACGGCCAATCTGGCCGAAATGGCCCGCGATTTGCCTGCTTTTGTGGCGCGCCGGGTGCACCAGCTCCAGGCTAAACCTGGTCTCATCTCCGTGGTGGAGGACTCGGATCCTGTTGATTTTGGTGAGTTCTGCGTCACTTCTGTTGGTTTTCGTGTGACAGACTAAGTTATGAGCCCATAACTTTTAACAACTGTTGCGTGAACAAATCCGTAGTATCTACACTTTGCCTTGGTTTTCGTTCCAATAGGGTCTCCTTATCTCCTATTTTGGCAGTTGAATTCTCGTGAAAAAAGTGTGTAAATCGGAATATTCGCTCCTGATTGTTTCTGTTGATTTGTTATTTTGCCAATTCATCGTACCTTCCCTATTCTCACTTTGGTAATGTAAAACTGTTTATAAGAAATAGAAACTATGACTACGTGCACTTTTAACAAGTGAGGTTTCATTGAAATCGGCATCCACAATCCCTGTCAGAATTCCGCCTTCTAAGTAATCCAACCTTTGACTCGTTGCAGTGGTAATTCTTCCTTTTTCGTATTTCAAATGCCTATGGTTCCATTTACTAGTTTCGAGACAGCGCGAATTTTTCAACGATCTGAAGAAACGGAAAGGCCTGAAAGTGGACGATTCCTGCTCAGGTCGACGGCATCAGCCTCTCGTCTTTTTGTCTCGCTCCGTTGTGCTCGAAGTGAACGAAGAGATCGCTAAGTCAGTGGATGGATACTATCATTGTAGGCACTTGCACTTAGCTCCGTGTGTATTTGGTAGGTTAGTTACTCCAATCAAGTAAATTTTTTGTTCACTTTTAGCTGGAACAAAGCTACCTTACCCTATTCTTCCTCGTCCTGTGCTCAAAGGGGTTTCATATATTCGAGGTAGTCGACCATTTACCTGCTGTCATTGCAAATCTCTAAGCGTTTGCATTTATCGGTATAGAGTAGCTTTTTATTTATGATTTATGTTTAAATTGGGGCTTTTTCGATATTCCTAGCCCAACGCCGTCCCAATCCCTGGGACGCAGGCATTCCCAAATCCGTGCTCCGATTGCGTCACATCGAGCGTCAACACCGTATCTCCCTCCTGGCACGTGTGAACGAGCGTCGCTGTGCCAATCCCTACGGAACCCCCAACTTCGAGACCACCTCCATTCCCACTCCTGACCTCATCTACTTTCTTACCTCTGCCGTCATATGCCGCCCTGTCAAGAGACCCACCCACTTCGCCACCGGTGCCTGGGTTGCCTGCCAACGCGCCCTCCGAACCTGGCCCGATAAACGAGCCTGCGATGACTTCGACGGTCCTCCGACCTACCTCCGTCATCCCACTTTCGTGGTTGGTGGTATGGGTGCTCCTAGTTTGCAAGCAGCTGAATTAGAACGTTTGCAGGCTTTTTACGGGCCTGAAGCTGCTTTTCCTGTTCGCACGGTGTCTTCCAAAGCCCTCAGACAAATGCTCTTCAGTCCAGTCGATTGTCTGGAGTACTTCTCTGGTTATTTTGACAAGTGGGCTACCGCTCCTTAGGAACATTGGCCTATCAATAGCTCGGACGTTATTCAACTAATTTTTATTTTTTTAAGGTTTCTTATCACTACTCCATCAGCGATCTCATCAGGCGTTCGTCTCCACACCTCGTGTGCTAGTGTTCACCGCATTGAAATGCAGCAGGAGGCAGTGCTTGAGGGCATCCTGCAACCTTTCCTCGAGGCAGCGAGAGTGTTCAAGCACTGCATTGTCCACAAAAAGAACTCCACACTGGCCAAAGTGCACTGTGCCTGCGATAGCCTCACCTTCCGCTCCTGGTTGATGCCTGCTCAGCTGTATCGGGTGTGTAACAGCCATTTGTTCCAGTTTCCCGACCCGAGACTTATCCAATACGACTGTGGTGAGTGCTCCTGCATTTTATGATTCTGTTCTTACCTCGAGTTATGTCAAGCTAGCATAAAAGAGGAATGCCTGGGAATGATTTATTGTATGAATGGCTTACGATTGTAGACTGATTAACCTCGCCCACTTTCCTTTAGGAAAACTGCAGCGTCTGGATCTGTTGCTGCGAGAGCTCTATGCAGACGAGCATCGCGTGCTGATATTCACGCAGATGGCGCGTATGTTAGATATTTTGGAGCAGTTCTTGGCTTACCATGGTTACCGATATCTACGGCTAGATGGTACGACGAAAGTGGAACAGCGTCAGGTCCTCATGGAGCGCTTCAACATGGATTCGCGTATATTTGTTTTCATTCTCTCCACCCGATCCGGTGGTCTTGGTGTCAATCTGACCGGTGCGGATACCGTCATTTTTTACGATTCGGATTGGAATCCTACGATGGATGCGCAAGCTCAGGATAGGTGTGTTTATACGCCAATATCTGCTTAAGTTAGATCTTGTGTCGTGTTGTAACGAATTGGTGCATTCAAACTTTTTGGCTTCTGCCCGAAAGTTTATGCCGCGAATCGTGCTTTTAAATCTTTTTTCCACCAAACTCGCGCATGTCTGCAATTTGGAATCAGGCAGCTTTAGAGGTGCATTCATTCCGAAAACTGAAAATGTTTTTTGAGTTATCTTCCATTTCCATTATATCTATTCTGTTTTCTGAGGATAAGATTTTTGGCTTTAAGACCCTTTTTACGCCTACTTTTTATGTTTACTAATTTCTTTTGTTTCGTTCATTCTTTAACAATGTCAGTTTTGTGACCCATCCGTACTACTTTGCGTTTGGTGCTTAGCTAACCGTCTACTCATTAACCACTGACGCTGCTGTTAAGCACGGTGTGGTTGATAGCTGGCCGTCGAGGCATTTGCGGTTCATATGTTTTTCTGTTTCCCAGTTTTTGTGGGTTTTCGTTTGAAACGCTGTTATTCCCCCCCCCCCCGATTTACCAATTAAATGACATACTGTTTCCTTCTTAAATGTCGGCAATGAATACGTTTTTCGGTTAATTTCATTATAATTGTGATGTTTTTTTGGGCGCCATTTCACTAAGTGGTGCTAATTATTCATGGATTTAGTAATATAGATCCCCACTTTCGCTATTATTAATCATCACCTCAGTCAGCCACTACTAGTTTTAATGTAATTCATCTTTGACGTCATTGTCCGATTAACTTCCCTTTTCATTACCAATCCATTTTGCCTTGTGCCTCCTTTAGTCCCGTAATCATTAATGCCTGATTTATCTGTCTAATCAGCTACCTCTTCCTCTTCATCTTAATATTCCCCTCCGTGTTCACTTACTCATTCCTCGTAATTGTGCCCGCTGCAGATGTCATAGAATCGGTCAAACGCGCGATGTGCACATCTACCGTCTCATCAGTGAGCGCACAGTGGAGGAGAATATTCTTCGCAAGGCCAACCAAAAGCGCCTTCTAAGTGATGTTGCCATCGAGGGCGGCAAATTTACTACGGCATTCTTCAAACAAAGCATCATCTCCGATCTCTTCGCTGAACCCTCCGGCCTTCTGGTATACATTGCGTTTCTTTGAATAACTCCTTTATTCTAGATTTACGAATAGTGTATGTTACGACCACTTTAATTGTCCATCTGGAGAATCGGAGCTACAGTTTTTTTCCATGTGCACATTCACTTTTCAGGATCTACTTCAAGACAAGGAAGAGAGAGAAGCAGCAAGGACAAAGAAAGCAGACGATGTTGAGGAGGGAACGAAGGAGAATAGTGCAGCTCAATCTCCCCCCTCACCTCCTCTCCTGACCACTCGCAGTGGGCGTCAAATTCGGTGGAAGGGAGCCACTTCGATCCTCCTCAACGCCAAACAGCAGTCATCCACCGCTGCAGCAGCCTCCAACCAAGCCGCCATCACGGACTCTCAGTGGGTCGCCGCACTGGATGCCTGTGAAGATGATGAGAACGATCGCGTGGCGGCCAAACGCGCTCTTGATGAAGCTAAGGTGCCCCTTTTAACCATCACTGACTTCGTCCCCCACAATGTGGTTCAATTATTACTCGCCAAAACGGCCCTCTTTCTTGGTTCAGGCTGATCTGGAAGAGTTTGACGAATCTAAACCCATTGAAGGCGCGGAGTCTGGAGAAGGAGATGTGAAGATATCAGGCACTGACGCGGCTCCCTCCATTGAGGGTTCGACCTCGGATCCGCTGGCTCGTTTCGTCAAGAAGCGGCAGCAGGAGGCTAACGCCATAGATTCCAATGCCGCCGTTGGCTCAGACGCACTTACCCCCGAGGCCATGGTCGAACGCGAACTGGCTGAGTTTGAGTCTCTTCTTCGGCCCATTGAACGTTTCGGAGTCAACCATTTGGAGAGCTTTCAGGACGATACACTGAATCTGGAATTGGAGCAGTTTGAGGTCAGCTTTTTTGTTGATCCTAAAGTCAATTCCAAAAGCGTAATCGTTGTTGTTATTACTACATTTAATGTCTTCTCCGTTCCCTTCGGCACATCAAGTAAATTACAATGTCACTAGTTTTGCTTAAAATAACTTATATGCACTTGCTATCTATTAGGCACAAATCGAGGAATCAAAGAAGGAGTGGAAGTTGAACACTCTAAAAGCCCTGCACGAAGCGGACGAGGAGCGAGCAGAGTTAGAGGAGGACGAAATTCTCTACTGTGATCCCGATTACGATCCGGAGGCCGCGCGTCTGGCGGAGTTAGGTGAACTCGAGAGGGCAGAAGAGATGGAAGGGATGACAGGACGTGGTATAAGGGGTCGACGAGGTCGTGGTGGTGGACACTTCCGTGGACGCGGACCTCGTATCCGTGGTGGAGCCGCGTCTATTGGACGGGGTGCTGCACGTCGTGTAGACAATGAACGTTCCACTATCCGCAGTCGAGACAGCGATACTAGCTCTTCTACCACTGCCAGATTTCGGCTACATCGTCCGTCTCCAGATAACGATGAGTCCTCGGTGGACAGAGCAGCGTGGTTTCACGCGCGGTACCGCGACAACGCTGGAGGTCGTAGACGACTGCCCATCCCCGACTATGTGGACTGGGATGAGGAAGAGGATGAAGATGAACCGGAGGCCACTGATATCTGGTCTCCGTCTCCCGTTCCTAGTCGACGAGATTTCGCCATCTCCTCCGCCCTCACCACAGCGCTTCCACCAAAGCGTGGAAGGGGTCGAGGACGGGGCCGTGGGACTACCAATGGAAGTTCAATCTCGATGAGAGGACGACGACGTCCCTCTGATTACTGGCGACCTGAAGGGGCTGAAGTCACCTATCCGAAACGAAGGCGGCGCTACTCATCCTCCCTGTACGCTGACGATATGGAAGACTCTGCCTCCACTTCAGTGCGCTCGGATTCGATGATTTCGGTAGAAAATTATGCAGTCAGAGCTGGGCAACGCGGACGACCGCCCCCTGCGGTGTTTCAGCCCACTAGGCGGTTGGGTCCTGAAAGTACACGACCTTCTTCTAGAATGACGCCAAATATTATCCGAGTACTTATCCTCTCTGTTTACACTCATGTTGTTGGTATTCTTAAGATAGCACTAACATGTTTTTTTTTGTTCTTCACATTAGTCGTCAAACCCTTATCAATATTATCGGCGGTATGACGCCACCTACTCCCCTGCAAGCTCCAATGCCTCATACGTTTCGCCCTTCTCTGGACCGATCGGTGTTCCTAGTCCCGGTTTGTATCACCAACCGGTGAGTCCCAGTGGAATGCTACAACACAACTCGAAGGTTCTTAACAGCCTCATGCAAACTGCTGTTGAACCTCGGGACGAAACCTCGATTTTCAAGCACCCACCACTCCCAGCTCGTGAAGAGGAGGTTTTGAGTCGATATCAGGTAGTCTGGTAAAATACTGCATATTCTTGTGTAAATATACCGTTGAGATGACCTAAACGACTACTTTGTAGCCAATGTCCACGCAATACCGTCCACGGGTAAGGTGTCATACGCCGCGTCATCGTCTGACGTTGAATCCCCAGCCTCGACTACAGTCCTTCTTCCGACCTACCGTTGGAATTCCAATGCGCTCGGCTAACATCGCCCCGCCCCGACAATACCATCCCCCATCTGTTTCACCAACTCAGGTTGTTCAGGAAGAGCCCACAGTTTCCGTACAGACCCTCTCCAATGGAGCGCACTCGGTGCAACCGCTCCGACAAGTTCTTAGCGGTCCCTCAAGTCAACCTGTCTTTGTCATTACAAGGCAGTTGAAGACTTCTTCGGGAGAGGTTTACCAGCAGAGGATCACACAGCCAGTTCAACCGCCTACGAAGTATGTACAGGTCGTGCGTAGAGCGTCTCAAGTCTCGAATGCGGTCCAGCCACAGGCTGTGATGCCATCTGCACCACGTCCCATCATCCGACTAAACCCACCCCTCACTCGTGTGACCAGCGCCCTCACCTCGACAACTGTCAATACCACTGCTGCCACTACCAACGCCGCTGCCACTACCCTTCTCCCGGGAAGAAAGATCATTCGGGTGGTTCGATCCACCGCCCCCAACGCGATTCGCATTCTGCCACCAAGAATCCCACCCTAGGGAGGGAGAGTGACACTTCCACTTCTTCTGTACATAGTGTTGTTAACGCACGAGGGTGTAGGGGTGTTTGCCCATCTATGTGTGCTTGTGTGTTTACTTGTATAGTGGCATTGCTCCAAACTCCACTCCTCCTGTTCCCTTCTTCATTTCTATAAATTTTTTACCAGCACGAAAATGTAAACAGATAGATGATTTTGCGTATTTTTTGCGCTAGTTTCTGTCCTCTACGTACTCGGGGAAAATTGGTATCTTTTTGATCGGGTGATAACTTTGTGTTTATTAATGTAAATATTTCAGACGTAGGAAATTAAGTTTTAGTAGCGGTACCTGTACCAACCAATTTTACTCCGTAGGTCTTTCATCTCCATAGGTTTCAGTCAACACCCTATTGGCGTGGCATTTCGCCTGGATCAGCGGGTGGGTGTATATCTCTGCAGCGGGTTGCAGAGTCGTACCCGTAGTCTTTGAGGCAGGTTTTGGCACCACCCAGTAGTAAGAATTTGGGAAGTTAAGCCATGGAAGCAGACATTGACAGTGCGCTCCGCAAAGGGCCGGGTAACTACTTGGAGTCCGAGGGGTAGGCATATTCTGTTAAAAAATGATTTGCACATAAGGCTGATTGGCTGGCTTAAACTTTTACTCAGTCGTAGACATTAGATATTATTGATATAAGAGACGCGATTAGAAATCAGATGTTTCTTTGTTTTTAAGTCAATAGTATTCGTATTGCTTTGGTAAAGCACTGAATTTATGCTCCCAGTATTCTAACAATAGGTGCGAAACGAACTCTTTCTCGTAATAATTTTGCTACACATCAACAATTAAATGTTAAATGTTTTTTCTTGGTCATGGATAGACTATTTTCCATCTTTGGATACGAGATATTTTGCAAGCTAATTGACTGATTCCATGTCAAACCAGGCGGGCCAACTTCTGATCGATAATTGGGTTGCGTGGGTAGTCGCCGCTACAAATCCTAGTCGGTGTGTCATTGGTTGACGTAGCTGTGGTCAGCTGTTCACACATCTGCTCAGGTTGAGGACGAAATAGCCATTTCTTGTCCTGTCTGTAACGCAGTCTCCCGCCTCGAAGCGCCCAATCCATTGTATTTTGTGCAACTAAAGACAGTCCGTTTCATCTAACTCAGTGGGAGATGTCTCATAAGGAAAATTACTCATGTTCCAGACAAAGACGAAGTTGCCAGAGAAATTCAATGAGGCCTAGCCAAAATATCGAAGAACCAATGTTTGCACACCCACAATCTCCCTTTGAGTAAGCAATTATATTAATAGAGCATTTCATAATTTTGTAGGTCTGTCGTACCGCTGCCATCACGTCGAAGTATGGAAGCTAACTACCACTTCAGATACCCGCAAGCCACGTGTTTCCCACCTCGGCAGCCAACGAATATTTGCAGAAACTATCCACCAGCTTTTTCGCATAATCTATCGCCAAGGCCACATGCCTATAATTTAAATGGATTTCCGCCTTTATTTGATCCTGCTATTGTAAATGATCCCCAAAATATGCATTTCCCCGATTATCTCGCTGAACCCTACGCTTATCCTGTGAACTCCCTAAGTCCACTTCCTCTCATAAACTCACCAGTCACACCGCTCAGCGACAATCTACACTTACTTGTATCCTCCCTCTTACTTAGTGCTCTAATAGGTTTAAGTACCAACTCTCCACAGAGGCCAAATGAGCCAGAGACTGATGATGGTATTCGTGTTATCATCCGGCCATTTTTGAAGGGTACGGATCAACAGCAAGGTGGAGAAACTGTCCCATCGTCGGGAGTCCTACCATACGCTACACAACTAAGCACAAACTCGAGCTAGGGAAAGTGATAAATCATTTTCAATGACGACTCAACGAATAATATTTATGACCTTACATACGCACATTTGTTAAATTATGAAAAAAGTTTGTTAAATTGAAACTACAAAAAATATAGTTTTGATTATTTATGGTCCTCTGCTTCGGTGTTTGAAACTACCCATTAGGATGGTTTTTGACTTATTTGTGCCTGACACGGATTTTTACCACAGCAGCGTAATTGAACGAGTAGCCAATCCTGACGATTTTGAGGGTGATCAGGCTTAGTTTTAGGTGCCTCCCCCGTTCCCCTTTGTGAATAGCTTTTTTCTACCCCTATTTTGTGCCACCTTAAACGTTGAATACACCTTTGGGGTGCAATATCTTATCATATTTGGTTGGCAGCATTGCGCTTGGTACTAAATGTTTTCTTTCCTTTTCCGTCTGTTTTCTCTGGGTTTAAAATTGAATGTATCTCAAATTCCACAGAAGATTGTAAATATTCGCCCATTTCTTCCACATGAGACGAATGTTTTGCATGATGCCATTGTATCACTAAAATGTCTGATCTGTCTATACATACTTCAGTAATGCCACCAACTATTATTCAGTTTTGGGACCATAGTTAAACAGAAATCCCTAGAATGACCACAACTTCAGCCAACATTCGTATTCAAATGATTCAGGCGAATGGGTGTCCGTTAACTAGTAAGCATCACAAATTCTATCTACAGGTCATGCACGAGAGCTAAACGAAAATTTCTCAAATTTAACCATCACTTACAACGGTCATTATTTTTCTTGCAAAGTAACCGCGTGTTTCGTCAAAGAAGGCCCCAATTTTTATGACGCTGTAGGTTTGATTCAGGTGTTCATTAACAAGTATCAAATGGCAGGTATACGCGATGGGGACCATGATGGGTGACTAGTTTACGAGAAGCAGTTAATGAGATCAACTATTTCCTCAATTACTAGGTACAGGGGTTTTGCTTGAAAATTTGTAAGCAATGCAATAGCTGCCGTATGCAAGTCGTGAAATCCAATCATACCGGAGCCTGCTAGCTCCATCAATATTTCAAAATCAAATTTCTTTGAAATTCGCATCAATCGATCGCCTACCTAACACCCTTACCAGAAGAAAAGTAACGGTAGTGTTGTGGAATGGTGTCCACACTAACTACAATAGTTCACAACTGTAGTAACGAGTATGTTGTAATCCGAATTCTAAAGTATTTTGCGCCTGAAAAGGTTCACCATAGTATGCTCAGATCGTGGCAGTTGTTGGAGAAAGGTTTAGTAATTTCGTTTTCGCGCCGACGACATCCAGCTACTCCAGCACGCAGCACCGCCACGCACTGCAAGTAAGCGCAACACTTAGTGCCCACGTTGTAGGTGATACGCCTTAAGCATAAAATGGTAAAGAAAAAAACTTCCAAAATAAATGCTTGCGTCACCATAGCGCCTAAAGTTACCGAAGTCAGAAACTAATCAAACTACAAAAATCAAGGCTTAATCATTGCTAACCTCAGGCGCAACGTAGTAACCAGATCTACCCAGCTGTTCCCCTGTGCAACAAACCACCAAATTTAATCCAAATTTTAACATCAATTAAAAATTTAACTCTTAACTTTTTTCCTACACTGTTATCAGTTATTTTTGTTCAAAAATAATGGCTATTATATTTTATGGCGCGGCATGCTTATTTAAAACAACTAGCAAGGCTCTTTAAGAATAAATCTTGCCAAGTGCGCAATTTAGTGGTTTACAAATAATCCGCTTAACGAAGAGGTATTTCACTCGTTTGCGTTCGCCCAATGATTATTGAGCGGTTTGTATTGCCAAGCAGTGCCTGTTTGGCGCCTTTTCGGCAATATGAGGGTTCGAAGGTCGCGGCAGTTTGCAAAAGTTTTGTCGATCTATGAGCGATGTTTTGGTCTTGCCGCGAAAAATCTCGAAATATTCTTGGATCACACCTTCGTTCGACAATCCCTTATAAATCATGTAAATATATCGGACAGCATTGCCAATATGGTTGGGCGTGGTTTTCGACTCGTAACATCATCGTGTGTCGTAGCCGAATGCCAAGCACTTGGATCCTTATTTTTTGGTGCTCTCAAGATCCTTGAGGGTTTCTACCTTCTTAAGTGCCGGCACGAATACAATTCCGCTCTTGGTGCTGCTTGGTGTATCCGGAAAAGGATACGAACCGCACGAAGACGTAGTAAAACTTTCAGGAGGCTAAAAGAGGGTGAAAAGTGTTTCCTTTTCGCTTTAGCTTCAAATGATGCGGAATTGCAGGCCCTTGCGCGCACTGTTCCTGGGATGCCTGTAATGTTTATCGCTCAGCGGTGCATCAACATTGAGCCAATACCTGAAACCACACAGGCCATAATCGACAACCTGACGTTGCAAAGCCTCGCGGTTAATGAGGGTGAAGTAGGCCTATTTTTGTATGCTTTGCAAGGTCCATACTGCATTAAGTTATTGAGGTTGCATAGTTTCCATGCCTTCCCAATCATTTTACAAGCATTTAGTGGCTTTCATTTCGTTTAATTTTAAAGTAACTTTACTTTATTCGGGAAATATCTTATAGTAATCAAGCAAATCGGCCAAAGTCAAGCCCAGTTTGGAATTTGTTGAGAACAAATTTCAACATTACAGAATTCATTAAATAATCGTGGAGTTGAAATTTCTGAAAAATGAAAATATGTATGAGGAAATAATCTCCTTATTTGTAGCCATAAATCCATAAGACGCGCGTTACTTTTGTCTTCGTTGTAACTGTTTACTTCATTCAGTGTAGACGTATCTGCCTGCTTAATTGCATTTTTTCTAAGTGCATGGTCTTAATCTGATTTCATTGAATCCCTTCAGCTGGCAAGACTCCAACAAATCGAGGAAAAATTCGGTCTAGGAAAGGATGACTACGTAAAAAACAGAAAAAAGAAACGCGGTCCTTCTGGTCCGAATCCGTTGTCGTGTCGGAAGAAGCGACCAGCTGCGATGGTGACAGCCCTCAATATCACCTCCGAGGGGAAACCAAGAAGACAAAGGAAGAAGCATCATCGAGCTCTGCGGAAGACCTGGGCAATGCGTCAGGTCCTAAAGCTCTACGGAACCCCTTCTGTAAACGCACAACCCACCCTTCTCTCTTTGTCCTCTCCCCTCTCTCCAGGCACAATTACCAACGTATAAATAATGCGCCTGCTCAAATTATTGGCCGTTTTAGCACTAGGTAGCTCTGGCAGGTATGATGCTCCATTTCCATGCATCCAACGTGGAACTTAGGTCATCGTAATTTTACAAAGTTCGCGAATTTGTCGTGCACTCCGTTTTTGGACCACTATCTTTAATGTTTTCAATTCCAACCCATTGGGGGTATGCTATTTTCATTGCTTCAATTTTGAAAGAAGTCTTCACTGGGTTCGGAAAACTCGACCGAAACACGGATATACAATGCAACAAGACAGTCCCAAGTATTTTCACCTCAAAATAGATTATAGTGAGAAGCGCGAATAAGGCGAACCCCGACTGTTTCAAATGCCTCCGCGTTAGGTGGCTTTTAATTGAAAGCAAGCTCTTTCCGACCTGTACCGTTAACGTTGCATTGAGTTCATCGCTATTCCGAAATAGCTGCGCGCTTCCAATTGCCATTCTCCTGCCTGGTTGAGTCAAAGCTACCCTTACGTCAGTGCTGCCGTCATAATCGTGCCACGTTGACTTCGTTGGAATGCTAACCCCATTGGTTGAGAACGATAGATTTCGCCAAGTATGCGAGGGCCCGTTTTTATTGCCACCACTTTGGTGTACTGCTACATCTGCGCGCACTATCCCCTGTGAATTGAATCTGCACAATCCGTTTGCGATTGGCGGTATAGGAACGCATACCCTTCGGGAAAAAAAACACCGAGTCTTCTGTGTCAATCTCATGCGAACCAGAGAAAATTCTTATAAGTGCTGCCACTCCTCATTTCAGAATTAAACGTGTTGACCTTTACATCATCCATCGCCAAAACAGAAAGTCAGGGCGAATAAGCCTGCGGTATCAGCAGTCGGTACGCGGCTTATTTGACCACTTACCGCCTTAGCAAATTGGTCGCTCCATGTTTGCCAATTGTGCAAGAGCGCATTGGGACCAAGCTTCGGGTCGAAATGGTGCACGCCGTCCATTGATAAAATATATCAGCCACAAATCCCAAGATTTATGGGTGGTGCCTCAATTTGATACACCTCTCGTCGATGTGTCACACGTCCTCTGCGCTTATTTTGTTCCATCCAGCCTGCCTTAGCGTAACTAACCCCCGCATAATCAGCACATCCTCAGCGCATGCCTCGAGCATTCAAATACGAACAGGTTCACAGATCCATTGAGGAATAACTCCACTTTAAATTGCTTTTATTTGCTCCAAGATGTCAGATGCAGCAGTAGGAATTGCTCATAATTGTTGGGCCGCGAAGGGGGAAAGTTGGGCATTGATTGAGGACTTCAAAAAGTGGGAGAGGAGTGGAAAGAAAAGAAAGGGGGCCGCGCACGTGCCAAAATTAAAAGGGTTTTCATATTAAGCCGACAGAGACAAACAAGTAGGATGGGATAGGCGGCGGTTGAAAACAAGGAAAATAACCGAGAATTTGGGGCATCGAGATGGTGAGGAGCACAGCCTGAGTGGGAGAGACGGTGTAGAGGAGAATGTGATGGTAACAACGACAACTGCACCCACAGAGAAGTGAGCTGAGGAGAGGGTGTGAAAAAAAACTGTCGTAGTAAAAGGGCGTAACAATGTCGTGGTAGCAACGGTGCGGAAACGTTCCAGCGGTTCACCGTTCTTTAACAACCTTTGGACAAGTGATGATGATGGCAGCGGCGGCGGCAAACCTTATCAACGGGGTCCTACAGACAATAAGCAATTTAGTCTGTCAGGAGCTGGGATGCATAAGATAGCATGTGGATGGTATTGACTAGGGTGAATGAATTCCTATCATAGCAGTAGAGTAGAGGATGACCACTAACCAACTACATCAGTTCTACTTCATATGTGAGGGATTCGTGGTAAAAGTCAGCGATAATTCACACCCGGTGCATGTTTATCAAAAGAAAAATTGATGAGACATTCGAAGATGCACATACGGTCTGCGTCCACACTACCAGCAATCAAGAACATTGACACTACGGATAGCCGAAAATTGATCTGAGAAAGTTGATATTCACTGACCGCAGCTTTCTCCAGACAGTATCAAACGGCTGATGCTTGCATACTTCTACGCTAAGAAGTAACATATTCTGGCCGAAACAAAAAAAGTGCACACAAACACATGCAGCAGAGCCGATTGCGCGTGAGATGTTATCAGGAGATCACTTTGGTAGTTTAGCAGAAGCATAAGATCAGATATGCGTGTACGTACTTAGAGGTCCCACTGGACTGAGCTCAACGGATTACTCGCGTGACCTGATGATCAGAAAAGCCCTTTTTTATTTGGGAGCGTAACATCATAAACTAACACCGTCGCAAAAGCATAGCGTCACGCGCAATTTTATTTAACCAATCAAAAACGCAAAAGCTGTGTTTGTAAGAAGTGCTTGATTCTGAAAGTGGCTGTGCTTCGTGCTTAAAGTAGGAATAAAGACTGTAGGTAGTTTTCGAAGAGCGAAGAACTTTTGACTTCATTTTCACATCTGCACTAACAAATTGCAATCCTGAGATGCTGATGGACCTGGTAGCCGGGTCGTGATAAGGGTGTTGTATTGATATTAAGTATAGTCTGTCACCTCAGCAGAAAAAAAAATATCCAAAATCGAAAACCCAGAAACAAGGATAGGTTGGGGAAAAAGTTGGACTGTTTGGGACGAGGAAAGCACAGACCAGCATGGGGAGAGTTTGTACGTGAGTGGGCATAAAGAAATCACAGCCAACAGGAATTTCATTGGCCACCACGGTTAGCCAATCAAGCGTGCAACCCCCCAAAATTTTTTGAGCTTCAAGATTCACCCGATATGTCTAATGCCCACTTTCACAGATGGTGGGTGTATGCATGTTTAGGTGTCAAGTGTTTTGCTATTTATCCGCTGAAGCATCTATACATGACTCAGACACAATTACTCCGTTTAAATAAAAGCAAGATGCTCCAGTGCTTTAGAAGCGGTAAGCCCTAGGATGAGAAGTAGTGTTAGCACTAGCACTTCAGCGAAATTTCGCCAACACTACACTGACTACTGTTCTGCCAGGAAGCCAGTTAATCAATTCACGACAACGCACAAACTATAAGACTCGACTTAGCCATCGACAATAAAAGAATCAAACGACATGGTCTTCCCTTCATTTTGGTGTTTGCAAATGGCCCCGGTCACGTGTTTGATGAATTCGGATATCATTTAATCTGAATTTTAGTGCTTTAAAAGGCAACGTAACAGGCCCCACTTTGATAAACAATAGTATCCTAGTAACATTTTACACCTACTTCGCTCATTGGCTCCAAAATTCGCCCGGCTTTCTACAACACTATTTATGGCTACATTACACCTTACTTTTAATTCTAGTATGGACATGGCTTTTAATTGCGTACAATTCGCAGCTTGAAAACCCAGCTCGATTTTGAAAACGAATTTCAAGTTCGACATCACCAAACAAGTTTAGATGAGCTGGAGAAGGGTTTAGCTATAATGACACCATCATCTGCCTCTGTAAAGTGAGGAGAGCAAAACTTGACAATTTTCACCACCGACTGCATTGCGTGAAAATAGGCGTGGGGTACCAAGTGCTGTCATGAAACAGGGCATCAACAACATCTAGTAGGGAACTACAGTGAAATAGTTTAGATATTTATCGTTTAATGCCTGACTGGTGCATGGAACCCACTAAATTGGATTGAGCAGATGGATAGCAAAAACCAAATACCCAAAATACCAGAAGGGATAAATCACTGAGGGCGAAAATACGCACCTCAGGCATGGGAAGGGTTGAATTTACATGGCTATAATCATTAAATGTGAGAAATTAATAATTTTAACGGACCAATCAAGTTACAAGGAGACACAGGTCGCCAAAATGACAAAAGGTAATGCATCAGGACTTACAACAACGCACGAGGGTTTTTACTTCTTCAGGGGGAATGATGATTTGTTCTTTGTACCCTGATTAAGGAAATAGGTAACGTAGTTAGAGGATTCAAGAAAGAGGAAGAATTTCAACAATAAACGCAATGACTAACATGCCTTTAACTTGGTCAACGCATGAGCATCGTCCCATGCTCGTCCTATGCCTCCAAAAAGAAATATCTCAGACATGACCACTCAAGAGCCTAATGAGAGCTGTTTCATAGTCCACTTAATGCATCAATACAAATGAAAAGGCAAAAGGCCTAACAACCTCAGCCGCCTTGCCGGGGCGACCAGCGCACTCCTCGATGACTTCGGCGGCATCAAATTTGCCTGAGCGGCGATATAAGGCGCCCAGATTTCGCAGCGTGGTAGCCACTGTGGGGCTGTGGAAAAGAGGAAAAAATGAGAACTTTTAACTCGCAATTACTCATCGCCGCTAACTTCCTTCTGACTAACGACTACAATTGTGAACCGCAGCACTATCGCAGTGCCCGCACAAAATTCGGAGCCGTAAAATAGGAACGCAATACGCAGGTGAACTGAATGATCACATTAAAATCGAGTTTATGGCAACATCAACCCCCAACAAATCGCTCAAGTAAGCGCTTAGTGCTTTTAAAATCATTGCTTGATAAAATTGTTTTAATTCTTGGATGAATCTGCTATACATAAGCTAAAGTTGCTTTGCTGTGCAAAATCGACGAGTACGCATTCCCAGAATGAGTCTCCAAACGTCAGACTGCATATCAGGTTAAAACACAGAGAGCATCCTATGGGTAGCTCACGTTTGAAGAGTTACGTTGGTTAAGCCACTGCTTAATGTACTGAAACCAATTGACAGAACTACGACGGTAAAAAAAGGCCAAAATGAATGAAAATTGGTCCAAGCCACTACCAGGTAGAAAAGCCGGATTAGGAGGCTGTGATCAAAAAATCTTACATGCAAACTTTCATGTGAAACTAAAAAAGATTCCGGTAAGCAATAGAAGCGTGGGGAGGTGTAATGCTGCAGTGAGCACTCCGCACAAGCAAGCCCAAACCTACAATCAGATGCAGCATCAGAACGCGCATAAACCTGAGCACCGCATACTTTTACGATTGCAAAATTGCTGCGAGGGCTGACTAACGACCCGAAGGTGGAAAGAATAAGCAGCTGAGCTAGTAAAAAATAAAAACCTATGAGTGCAAACACGCAACATGGCATTGTGTTTATGCCCAAAAACACGGCCCCTAAAATCACACCATCGTCCAAGCAGACACAGGATGGGATAGGGATTTGTAGGTACAGGGAGCGCACTTACAATTCACACGCAAAAAAACTTAGGTCTCTCCTCTAACCAGATAAGATCGCGCAGTTCCCAGTATGACTCGCAGTAATGATTCCTTTTGATTTGTAGAAACTTTTAAAGTACATGGGACTGTGCACAAGCATGCCTTATAAGCAGAGATATGTCAGTATATTGATACAATTATCTATACCGATTTCTATGGTTGATCTATCTAATCAATGCGATACAATTCGAGCATAAGCAGGAAAAGAGTCTTCGGGAATGCTCAGAACCAGTTAATCGATCGAAGAAAAGCCCTCTTATTCCTGGATAACGCAAGATCCCTTACTGTGTACCGCAAAACTATATCGTAAAACTTGTACTTTACGATGGGAGACTGCTTTATTCTCTGCACTTCCCTCATTTTTCTTCAAGTAATAATAATACCTTTTCCCGGCATTACACAGACATACAAAATGGATAGTGACTGCGAAAAGAAAACCAGGAGAAAAATAGAGGTGGCCATGGCTGAATATTTTGCCCTTGGTGCCAAATTGTTTTTTAAGTGAAATTCGCAGAAGTCTTGTATCCCGTTGGGGAAATAATCATAGATTGTGAATGCGGCATTTTCAGCAGGCAAGATGTTTTAAAAAGCTTTCTGTAATTAGCTTATTTTTTAATGTAAGCAACTGAACGAACTCATTTGGTTACCCTGTATCATTTATGCTTTGCTCCACCCCGCCACCGAAAGGAAACGATACTCGAAGACGGTCGTGCTCGTGTCATTAAATCAGCGGTTGGGATATTTAGTTAGCGCGAATGGTATGTGACGATTGAACGTAACGATAACGAGAGGTAGTAAACCAATGATGCGAACAAAGTGCATACAAAGATTTTATAATTACCAGAACGGACTGGAAAGTACTGCGACAATGCCACCGATGCTCAAAGATTCCTCGAAATGACAATACCATCAGATTAAAAAATATTTTTAGCACACTAAGGAGGATGTAGATCAGAACAGGCTTACTTTTCCATGAGGGCGGTGCGTTGGGCCATGGCTTGACTAGCGAGGGAGGGGTCCCACTTGCCGTTTTGCCTGTCCTCCGCTAACATCCAAATGGGCTTATTCTCATTTGTGAGCTTGCCGTACTCCAGTTCATGAGCGCGGGTAAGAATGTCCTTGTACAGCGCCTCAGCCTCCGCGTATTTGGCCTGCTTCAGGTAGGCCGAGGCCTACAAAGACAGAAATCTAATGATCGCCTTCCATATCATCCACCAAAAGGCATGCAGAATGCACCACAACTGAATGTACACAGGTACGCGCAGTTCTAGCAAATGCCAATGCAAAGGGTAGAGGGTACCAGTTATCATCAGCCATAAATCCAGCTTTGAAAGCTGACATTTCGAAAGAAACTGGAGAAAGTTTTATTGCTTGGGTCTTTCAATGTGGTAAGTAGTGGCATGCAGGGAAGGAGAGGGAAAAGCACATACCAAATTGGTTTTCGTTTTGGTGACATTGGGATCATTAGGACCGAGGCAGACAGTGTAAATATTGAGGGCGCGTTGGTAGTAGCGTTCCACCTGATCGCAAATGTTGATCAGACGAGGAAAGCAGGCAGACAGGCAATTCAGCGGCGAATTCGGTTACAACACCAGGCATGCGAAAAGAGGGATGAAGAGAACAAGTAAAACAACTAGACGATGAGGGGAGGAGATGGTAAGGGTCTGGAGCAATCTCATGCACTGCCGCTGAACGAACAGTCTCACCATAGTAGTGAGAGTCTTGAAGACCCTTTGCGGCACATCGTTTTCCTCATATATACGTTGAGCTCGAACCAAGTAATCGTAAACCTGGGTTTTATAGTCAAATGAAAAATAGATTTTATTAAAAAGCTTGGCATTATACTCCCGTGCTGAAGTGAAGTACTTTATTATTAGGACCCCAATGTAGAAAGTAAAGTGTCACTAACTCACCTCTGCATACTTGCCTTGGTTCTGGCATAAAAGAGCCAAGTTATTTAGTTGTTTGGCAACGTCGGGGTGATCTGATCCCAGGACCTAGGAGGGTATGGCTAGGAATAGCAATTTCACAAACCTTTTCCCTTATCTCCAGAGCTCGTTTACAGAGAGGCTCGGCCTCCATGTACTTTCCGCGTTTTCCGTAAAGGACAGCAAGGTTGTTTAGAGTGGCAGCAACCTAAAGTAACGACAGAAATTCAGCAGCAAATTTCTAACATACGGCAGGATGATCTGGACCTAGATGCCTCTCGCGAATAACCAGAGCCTCATTGAGAAGGTGCGCTGCTTCTTTATATTTGTTCTGGTCCCTAAAAATAGCCACGAAATACAGAAATCGAAGTAATGCATACCTGTAAACCAGCGCAAGAATGTTGAGCATAGTGGCCACATCCGGATGATCACGTCCACTGGTCCTCTCCAGGTCTTCCAGGGCCTGTTTACAAAGAGGAACTGCGACTTCATAACGGCCTTCGCTGGCGTACTGAATAACCAGGTTGTGCAATGTACGTAGTCTAGCGGGAATCTCGTAGTTGTTGATGATCTGCGACAGTACTGTTGTTTGACTAGACGACATAACTGAATTTTAAGTAAGCAAATACGAGTTTACAAGTAATAACCCACCATCCTGGTCACTTTCATCCTTATCCTGGACATCGCCAGACTTGATATCTTTGCCGCCAGCATCACCACCAGGAAGACCACTCTGGTCAGGCGCATCGTATTTTGCCATTTCATTGGCAAATTTAAGATTATTAATCTCTTCTTCCAGAGCAACTACCTTCACCTGACTTTGGCGATATTGAGCTTGTAGACTTGCAAGTTCCTCCCTTAACCACCTATTTTCATGCAAGAGACGTCTGCTTTGAGCTTTTAATCTCTGTTTCTCGGCTTCGGAAATTTGGAGATAGTCAGAAACTGTAAGGAGCTCCTATAGGAACGTGGACTTAGAACACAACTACATACATCTCCGTCACCCATTGCTCGTTCTATCTTATCTATGAAGAATTCTAATGACTCAGCTTTAGGCGATTTTGGCTGGCCGTTCGTTTCACCCACCTTCAGCAACTCTCTCAGTGTAGTCTTGTGCTCGTTTCGGAGAGAGTCAAGGACTTTCATTGAGGAACGCAGCTGTACCATTATTTCCGACTGTGAAAAATCATCCATGCTCCAATAATTCAGAAATACTGAGGAAACGGAGTACAGTAGCGCAACGCACTAACTACACACAACACGCCTATGGCGTCGGAAGCATGAGCCAATCAGTGGAAAGGATGCATCCAAACCCAGACACTACTGCGGGGAGCTCTGAAAAACCTAATAGATAATCAGTTCTTGAGTGAAAGTAAAGTGTGACAGAAAATGCATCACAAATCATAATAAATTCAAGCGGTATTTTACGTAGCTTAGGAGGGTGAAGGGAACCCACCCACCCAAACACAATAAACTTAGCCCATTGCATGGCTGTGATCCACATTTGTGAAATAAACAGATTTTCACAAAACTGTTTACTTTGCTCGCAATTAGACATTGCAACGAGTATAAAGCTCTTAATGATTTTCCCCCTAAATCACAATTTAATGTAAGGGTAAGCAATTCTTGACTCTATTGTAATTTCATCGTTGAAACTAAAATCACACAAGCATGTGATCTTGACTTTACTAAGGCTATGAATAACATTATATAATGTGTGCTAGAGGTCTTCGACATACCACGTTTGAAACATGAAAAAATCGGATCTCGTGATGAAAAATCGAATGTACTGTTTCACGCATTTTTAGTGTGTCATACACGCAAAGGTTAGGGCTTCAAATTTGCCCTTAAACAGGAGGATGTGTTGGCTTAGATAACCGGGGTGATTCAGTATACCTTTCGACTATACTAAAATGCGTATGTTTGAATATGTCTTTTGGGAGACGGGTGGTCACGTTAGAGTCGCGGCTGAGCGGTCAAAGCCTACTTGCCACAGGAAGTAAGAATTGATTTCCTTTTCCCCTCCTTCTAAGTTCTGATAAAATGTAGACTTATCCCACACCAGGATCCCCTTATCTACTCCGCAATCTTGATTGATGGCTATGCTGGCCTGCAGGAGAGCCAGTAGACCGTTGCATTTACTTAGGCATCATGGCACATAAAGCGCAACCCCAGCGGTTAAAGTATTCTTGGTGTTGAATAGCTGGCAATGTTCACATGCGTTCCCCTATGTTTGAATAGCTACTTTCCAAAAAGGCAGGTGTCTTTAGCGCGATAAGCGCTTCAGTAACTTACGGTCCATGGTCTACACCGAGAGCCTCCATGCTGTTCTGTACGTTACTACTACCTATTCTGCCGCATGGGTTTACCTTACCGCTGCACCAAAAAATATCATAGGCAGCAGAACTTAATGCTTAGGTAAATATTTGCGGTAGTTTAGCATTTTGCTTTATGGCCAGTTAAATCGCTTCAAAATTTCGCTCATACGCGGTGTACATTTGCTCACCTGCAACTCGATATGAGAAAATCTATAAGTTTTGATTCTAATCATAAGCGAGCAACATTTTTGTTTTAAATAGCAGGACCAAGGAAGGCATCTGCTATAAATTTTTCGTCATTCCATGAAAATTGCATATCTCTAAATAATCAGGCTGGCATCTTACTTATTGCTCCAATTGCCTATTACTATTAGGTGCTTAAAGAAAAAATTCTGTTATCTGTGTATTTACCATGATTTTTACCATTTTTTGTTTGTTTGGTCTACTTTTAGTAAAATAATATTTCATTTTGATATTGTAATTCACTGGTCTCCAGGCCCTCTTTATATTTAAAAAATAAAACAATGAAACTTTCGACTCCTTTATTGTAATAAAAATAAATTTTATTTTGCGTTAAAATTTTCTGCCCATAAATTGTTTTAACAAATTTTTTGAGACCGCGACAATCAGTGTGTTCGCCAATCCTTTTATTTGCCTTTTCGTTTGATGTCTCTATGGACAGGTGTCTAAGGTCACTTCTCTCCCTTACCCACGGTGCATAAGCCATGAAAACAATCAAAGAACGCTACGAAGAACTTCTTCAGCTCTACTTGAATAATTTTTCCAACGAAACTAACAGTTATAATGTTGAATTTCTTCTCGACACTCTAACCTGTTTGTATTATGAATGTAGCTCGTTACAACATCGGAATGAAAGAAATTGCCTTAAGTTCTGCAATTCGGGTAATGCTGATTCTTTATGCTAAGTTTTGAGTCAAACCACTTGTGGAAAAGATCGAGTCTTACCGTTTGTCGCGGTCTGAATTCGAGACAATTCGGCTTATCGGCTCAGGCGCGTTTGGTGAGGTTTCTCTCGTGAGATCAAAGTCTTCCAATGAGTACTTTGCCCTTAAATCTCTGCACAAGTATGATATGCTCAAGCGTTCGGATGTAAATATTTTTTTTATTTTTAAATCCACTAGAGGGCATGCTTCCAGGAGGAACGGGAAGTTCTTGTCAAGGGGATGATTAAAGGATCACCTTGGATAACGCAGCTTCATCATACTTTTCAGGACGAAAAATATCTAGTAATTGCCTCTCTCTTGTCCTTTTCATTATTAGTATTTTGTGATGAAATTTTACAATGGTGGTGACATGTTAACAATGCTGAGCAAGTTTGACGACCAAATTCCCGAAGACATATCTCGATTTTACCTGGCCGAGCTTGTTTTAGCCATAAACTCACTGCACGAACTTGGTTACGTGCATCGAGATATTAAACCGGACAACGTCCTTCTGGAGACGTAAGCTCTTTTCCACAAGCCGCCTCACCTCTCCCTACCTCTCCAGATCTGGACACATTGTTCTGACAGATTTTGGCTCCTGCCTTCGCATCGGCAATGACGGTTTGATAAGAAACACCGCTGCCGTTGGCACTCCGGACTACATAGCGCCAGAAATTCTCCGTGCTGCCGAAGATTCGCACGGAACCTTCGGAGTGGAATGTGACTATTGGTCTCTGGGTGTGGTGATGTACGAGATGCTCTTTGGGGAGACACCATTTTACAGCGAAAATTTAATCCAGACTTACAGTCAGATAATGAATTTTGAGGTAATTTTGTCCTCATTTACTAAATCTGCAAACTTCCTCCAACGGCGGCCCCTGATTTTTACGTTGTCTTACATAGAAGACCTTCAAATTCCCCGAAGACGAAGAGGGTGTATCGAACGCTGCTAAAGACTTACTTAAACACTTTCTATGCGACAGGAAGCAGCGCTACGGGCGCAATGGAATCGAGGAAATTGTAAAGCATCCCTTTTTCACCGGCGTTGATTGGGAAAACATCCGGTCGCGTGCGTCTCTGCCCTGCTTTTGTCTATTAAAACCACGCCAATCTATTCACCGTATTCGTTTTACTCACGCAGAACCTGCGCCCTATCAACCAGAAGTCAAGTCCCCGGAGGATACATCAAATTTTGACATAGAAGAGTCAGTTCGCACTCACGTAGGTCTCATATCTTCGCTACTTTTTGTTTTATTGTTGCTGCACTATATTTATACTCGTTGAGTCTCCTCATCAATGACTCGTGGATTACGATGCCAGTGCTTTTCGTTTTATGCACGTCTTTGCATTATTTTACCCTTACTGCAGGCGTTTTATGTCGACTGTCTTGTTTATTCTTCAGGCTATTTGTTTCGCCACACCATAAAAACCTTTCGCAAAAATGTACTTTAGGGTTGAAGTAGGATGTACAACCTTGGTTGTGAATATGCGTTTTTTGTGTCTCCGTTTGAGTTCAGTCAACTGCTACATCAGATTGGATAAAATAACCTTCTTGAGGTCATGTTGGTACCGGCAGTGAGATCACTTTTGCATGCCTTTGCTTAACTCGTAGTGACGAAGTGAAAATTCAGCTTTTGGTAATTTTTGCCAAGGCCATATCTTTCTTCACAGGTAGATACTCTTTCAGTCTGCGCTTGCCTTTGCCTAAAAGGCTGAAACTGTTTTTTGCCCACCGGTTGTTCGATTTCTCGCATTCGCTTCTTTCAGTCCACTTCTGACCTTCGCGGAATGTGCAACTATGTCCATTGAATTGCTAGATTGAGAGCGTACTAACTTTTAATATAGCTGAGCAAATTTTTAAATTGAAGTTGTCATTATAGTAACAGTTGCCATTCTCCCCGCATGCACTTCAAAAAAAGGTATGATGGGACTCGTTTTCTCCGTTTTTCTTGCTTCGGTGAAATTTCGCTACTTAACACTATTTTTATAAGAAGTAAGTGGTTTCATTCCAGCAATGGTATAAAGATATTTTATGGTCATCGCGCCGCGTTTTTTACTTTTATCGACGATCTTACCTGGAGGAAAGTGGCCGAGAGCTTATTTTTAGACCATGAGGCACTTCGTCTATTTGCAAATGGTTGTATTGGTTGCGCAAATTGTAGCAAAAGCAACTTCTGCATGTATCTTGCTGTCTTTTTTGTATAAATACATCGTTTTAATAATGCCATTTCCGAGTTTGGCTTAAATTTGTTTATTTGACAAATTATCGTGGCTGAAATTGCTGTTCCAGGGTTTCTTGAATTCGTCACCCCGCTATCAGTTCCTACATCGTGAATTGCTTTTTCTTGTTAACTGAGTGCCATAAATTTTCTTAACGAGAAGCCCCTCTCGCTCAATAAAATTAGCTGACTTTTGCTCATAATTTACACACCTGATTTCCCATATCTTTGCTGTCATTTCACTCAGCTGGTTCAAATTATTTGCGGTGACTTAATAATGACTGCGCCCTGGATTTGTGTTGGTTTTACTGAGGATACTGTCATACCGAATTCCCTTTCGTCTGCGTTTCATAAAATCCTCTTATCTTTTACATTAGACAACTACCCAAGTACTCTTCTTTACCCCTAGTGGGAGCGCAACTTTTTAAAGATATATTAATTTTAACAGTTCTCTGCTATCAGTTAGTGGATCGGATTTCGTGCATATGCAGTTCTGAAATGTCTTGACTGTTCTTTTAACAGCAGTTTTAAACAGCTCAGTAGAGCAATTGAGAAATCATTATTAAGATGCATTCTATACCAATTAGAATGAAGGTATTTTCTTCGGCAGGAATGGTTTTCATATATGGCTTGTTAATTCTGACGTTGTTGTGGACCATGTAATGAATGTCGTTCTTGAGACTGTGGTAAAAGGCACTGTCTTTACCTTTAGGAGGGTCCACCATTGGGTTCAGTGTTTCGCGGATGCCAGGTGGCGTGCATTGGCTTCACGTTTACCAAGGGCTCTCCACTAAACCAAATTGGCAAGCTGGGTGAGAACCTCAAGGCAGAGTTGTTGGAAGAAGGAGCTACCACAACCACTGCTGCTGCTGATGTACACTGTCCCAAATGTTTAGGGCTCGAAGTGAGTTCCCTCTGCAGTTCATCTCTTGTTCTAACTGAGACAGGGGTCAGTGTTCAGCCATGAAAAAGTGTCTTGCATGGTGCGCACAAGTGCTATGAAGGCACGAACTGGTGTTCAGAGGTGTTATCGGGTAGGTGATTGGGTTGCTGATTTGTTTAAACTATTTGAGGCTTCATTGATTATTAAACCTCTACATAAATTTGAGCCTTAACTTGCGACTTATCGTCGTACCCGCCGTTATCTGATCGGCTGTAGTCACTGCTTTCCATCGCGGCTTAGTACTTTTCAATATTTGGTGTCACTAATCAAACAATGTTGATCATCGCGTTAGACCGATCGAGACAAACTGGGCTACGTGTAGAGTGGTGCGAAATGTGTACTCAGTAGTTCACTGCCTTTAAACTGTTTAGCCAAATCTATCAATAGATCTCGCGGTATCATCTTCTTCGTTTCAAGCTGATTCCCTTGTTTTCACCATCATCATCCAAACTTTTGAATCTACTACATGAATTCCTCCACTCTTCGGGTCTCCCGCTAAGTCGATCAGTCCCATCATAGATCCGTGACAGCTTCCGCTGTTTCGCATCTGTCACCGTTTTGAATGAATAAAAGTTGTAAGGGTGGAGCTCAAAGACAATTTCTCACTTGGAATAGATTTAAGTTGGTTTGATTACAGCTTGTCAATGGGATGAAAGTGTTTTTGGCTTGTATAAGAATTTGTCCATATCATCCTATGCTGTTACTTCGACCCCCGTACTTACCCATTTTTTAAGGGCTTCTTCCTGAATTTATAGCGGCATGAAGTCATAATTTTAAAGTAATTAATTCTTCAAAACCGATAGACGTAAAAGCAAAGCATTCTAGGGCTTCCGTAAAACTCAGAATTTTTGTTGTGATGACATTTTTAACCAAATTTTGACCACTATCTAGACTCCCCGTGAAAAACCAAATATTACCCGAGCAACTTCTTCCGAACTCATTGCTTTTGTGCCTAGTTTCAATACATTTGGCTTTTTCCAAAAACAGGTTTTAGGCAAATTTATCTGGCAGTGTAAGGTAGCGCATGCCGTCAAAGCTCTATGTGATCATTGCCTGAGGGGGACGCTCATTAATAGGTGATCGAAAATTGCTATACGCGATTATTTCTGTTCCGAGGGGAGCTCTCTGCCCATATTTTGAGTAACATCCATAACATTTCACATCGCAAAAGTCGTTGCTATCCACCCAAATAGATTCTTCCCCTTTATTGGTCCGTTGGTCAATATATTTCTTACCTGTATCTCATTTCTGTCCGTTCTTAAAAAATTTAATTTTTATTTGCTCATGGTGTAAATATTTCACCTTTTTCAAGTAGTTGATATCAGCAAAAATTTTACCGAAATATTTGTAAGGCGAAAGCACTACAAGCCCATTGCTTTCTGAACAACACGTTTACTAATTTCGGGAAACCCTAATCAAGCAGTATTCGTCCATATACTGCTTCTACTATGTTCCGCTTCCATTCAACAACGCAGATATTATCCACTTGTCGAATCACACTTTTGCAGTCACGGGTGCACGATCTGGAGTCGGAGCTGCAGGCACTGACAATGAATATGCAGCAGCAACCTCCACCACCGTCACCAAAGCTAAATGGAACCCCATCTGCAGCAGCATTAGAGGCGGCGATGGAAAAACTCACTGCCTCGGAGGCGCGGTCGAAAGAGCTGGCGGTGGAAGTGCAACACCTCCAGACAGTCCTGGATGCTGCTGAAGCTCGCTGTGTCAGTGAGGAAAAGCACAACGCTCACCTCACAAAGGCGTATGTCGATTACTTTTTGTGTCCTCTCGTGTAGTTTGTGGTCGTGCACATGGCAACAGGTTTGTTTGCGCCCGCGTTGTGTTGTAGCGTTCGAGTTATCTTCTCTAAGACATGGGACTTGGGAGTCTGGTGGGAATTCTATTAAAAGCGTATGGAAAGCCTGAGAGGTAAAATACATAGATTTCCCAGTACTAGTTTAGGGGGCCAAATCGTAGGTGACTGAAAAAAATCAGGTTGTAGGAATTGTTATCCTCCTTCAGATAATTACTTCTTCCACATGGCTCAAGCTCCTTTACCTATGCACGCGTTTGGCCAACTAGATGAAAGTTATCCCATTCATTCGTCGAATTGAAGCTTTGCTTACTGGGCTTGTCTGAGGTAGTTATGGCCGTGTCAGTGAGCAGCTTGAATAAATCATCCCAAACATCAATTGATGGCTTCTAGTTTACTTTCTGTTTGTACCATTTATTCACCTGATGGGGCTCAGATACGAATATTAGATAACTGGAATTCCACTGGTATGTTTAGCTTGGAATATTTAGCCACGCACGCTGCATTCTTTTCACCAGATGTCTTAAGCTCTTCTGTAAAGTGCATTTTATCAAGTAATGCTACCTTCAAGCAACTCTCCTGTCCCATTTCGCCCTGTACTTCTGTAAGCACTAGTGAATGAAGAAGGTTTTGCTTTATTCTGAAATTTCTGTGACGTTCGGAGTTATTCATCCTTTACTCCAAACAAACTACCTAAAGTCGTCACGGGAAAGAGGAGGCAGCAGATATCATCTAAGAAAAATGCAAGCCTTACCTTTGTTAAATTTTAGATTCAAAAATCATGCATGCCACAAATTGATATTTGGTGAAAAGTTTGTCTGTCGGGAATAGAAGAAATCGTTCGGCATCACTTCAGCGGGATTTGTGCATCCAAATTAAGCTTTTATTCACGATCATTTTCGATACACCACCAACTCCTGATGTCGCCTGTGTGGTGGACGTTCGGTGAAGTAGTTGACTTGACGCCGATTGGCCCGTACTATTAGACTCCATTATTTTTATGATTGCTGATGGTGCCATGAGAGGCTTTTGTCTGTGTTTTGTGTGTATCACATGCACGCTCGAATCGTGCACGTAAGGGCTTCTCTTTCATGTTCCGTGTCTGCGTGTGTACTGCACGTTTACTTCGAGCTTATTTCTCAGGCACAGCCGTTCTCAGCGGGACGAGATGGGGTGTGCGAGTAGAAACATGATTTTTTTAAGCACCATTACTGTCGTTCATTGGCCTCTCATGTGACGTGATTTTCGGCTTCGGTGATGATTTGTTGATGCTATTCTCTATCTTTTTGCCCCTCGCCAAATTTGTTCCTTTTTAACCATTAAAGACCAGGTTGGGACGCATAGAACCTACGTATGTGCTAAGCTTCCCAGTCAGTTAGTCAATTCACCCATGATGGCAATTTCATTGCCTATTTCTCAAACCACTCGAATGATTAGCTAATCCACATAACACTTTCTTTGAACCCTCCTTTTTCCCGGTTGATACCACGTTTTTAAGTATGCTCATGTTGGATTCAAAAGGTATGTAGGATCGCACTTGTAGCAGTGCTGCTAAATGGTACTTTCCTATCTGATCGCTCTCACACTAGCCAGGTTGTACCTGACTTATCTACTGTTTACTACAAAAATTACCGACAGTTGACATGAACGTGTTTGCAGTTATTTCGACTGCAGTTGTTTTAACATGCGCATTTCCACTTGCCAATTTGATTTCCATAATTCCGATAGCTTTCTTTGGTTGTTAAGGTTTTAGGCCTTCCCATACCGGCAACTGGCTTCACATCTCTTCCGTTTACCTTCCTACTACATACTTGGGATGCTTTGCAAATATGCAAAATGCGTATTTGTTTATCGAAGTTAGTGTTGATTTTCTTTAGCATAATCATCTGCTCATCTTTGACGTGCTTTTCACCAAATCCTAGAACTCCACTTCTTTTCATGTTATTTTCGGGCATCCTTTGGGGGCTCGCGTGGAACTTTCCCTAAAATGATCACAAATCGTGACCACAAGGCGGTACTGCCGATTGATGGAATTGAAAAAGGGGAATGAAGTGAAAAATCGGTTGATTGTATCCAATTAGCTTATGGAAATTTATTTGGTCGGAGTGGTTAGAAAGGCATTTGGCTCCATTTATTGATAGCTTGAATGGTCAAGATAAGTTACTGGCATTTAGCCATCAGAATTCGCCCCGTTTTTTTCCTGCATTTGATGTGGTCTTTTGGGATTTCGCTGACCTGATAGCTGGGCTCTTCTTTTTTCGAACGTGTGCCCTTACTTAAACCATTTGCCGAGGTAGAAAAACGCCATTCCTAACTCGCCTTACTCACTGAGGTTGGTTTCCATCATGTTGGAGGATTGGCTCTTTCTACAAAGGGGAGTCAGTGTTGGCTCCACTTCACCTTAGGGCTTGGTCACCTTTCCATTGTCTCACTGCTATGTAAATTAACTATGCCTGTGTGTGTGTATGTGCGCATGGCAAAAACTTCCGTTCGGAACTGGTACGCCTTGAGCGCTGTCGTCACATGATCTGCGGATTGTGTGCCTGCACTCACGTCCCTCTTTGTGCGAACCGCAGCCTTGGCGGCCTAGAAACAGGGCCGTTACCTGAGCGCCTGAATTATCGCTTTGCTGACGTCTTTTTTCGGAGCATTTCTCAATTCCTTATTTACAGTTTTTGTGTTGCGAATGTTTTTAATGAGTGTGTTGCAGTGCTAGTTCCCCGATGGCAATCAGTCATCTGCCCCAGACATCGTTTTCATGATCATGGTGACATTTGGCTAGAATTAGTGATTCTTATTTAAGATTTAGGGAGTTTACTAGTGAAGACGAACCCTAGTTTTTCGAAATCATGCTAATATTGAGGAGTTGGATTTGGTTTACTAATGCATCTAATCAAAAGATCAGATCGACCTGAATTAAGGGTCTACCTTTTCACAAATTTTGTCGCTAGGCGTAGTCACGCCTGTTAGCTGCCTTCGCCTTTTTCCTCCCACATTTACGTTTAAAGTTTAGTTTCATTAAATGGAGGACTTTCTCTTCTGTCTTCTCTCTTCATTGCTTGTTTCTTACTTTGCCCTACTGCCCGGTCCACCACAATCAGTGACTGTTTTTAACCGAAAACTACACCTTAATTTGGCTTAATAGATGGTTCTGTTCTCATTCCCTATGGGCAAATCAACCAGTCAGTGTTTGGAGTCTGTTTTGCTCCCCTAGAATTCCTTTCCAGAGTATCCGCGCGTATAAGATTCTTGTTCGTCCGAAGTTTGTGGCTTTGATACACAGGTGCACTTTCACGTTACGCTAAATTGTTAAACTCCCTGATCTGCGCCAGTCGCCTGTCTTGACACACGTCTCCTTGTCCGTGCGGCTGTCCGATTTTAGTGTCTCAATGCACCTCGTTGGCTCGCCCTGCGTTGTGGATTATCTCGCTTCTCAAGCCAGCGCCTTCACTACCATTGTGTAATTTTTTTTGCCGTTGTTCCTTCCCTTCACTTGCTTTTATTTCACTCACGTGTCTGCATGTTTGTGTGAGTTTGGATGGGTGTGTGGTCCTGTGGCGCCCTCGAGTCGTGCTCTATTCCCACACTCCAAAGTACGTCGGCACTTTGTATCTTCTTCTGCCTGTGTACTTGTACCCTAACAGCTTCAGTTCACCCTCACCTCATCCGTTTGAGAAGCAGTTTGTCCTGGCCTTTCCCTCCAACTTGTGTCTGAGCCGTCTCCGTTTAGGTTCAAATACATGCCCTAGACCCTCCAAAGCGGTCGTTTTTTATGTCATATGGGGTTGACACCAGTTGACAAAGAAACGCAAATTAGCCGATCTGATGCTGTAAAGGAACCTATAACCGATTGCTGACATTTGCCAAAATAACACATTCAAGTGATCGAAGGCTTTCCTTTTGAACACAACTTCTTCTCAGACTTCAATAATTCCATGGATTGTGGACCTTAACTTTGCGGTTTAGATAGCAAAAAATTAGATTTCTCCCATTGTCAATGGCCCTATTATCACGGGACACTTCTTAAAGATCGATCTGATTCCTAGCTAGATATATATTTTATTTTTTTGGGCGTAGTTTTTGCATCATTTTTTAAAATCTCAGTAGTGAATAAAATTTATGATGAGTTCCTTAGACTGTTCAGCAAAATGGTAAACTAAGGAAATCCCATTTCAAGTGACTGATGGTTACAAAAGCGATCACAAGCTATTAGTTTGGTCTTAAATGAGTATTGTCACCTTTTTTCCTAGGTCGGGTCACAATCCTTATGTCAACAACCAATGGTACTCTTCTTATGCTTGGCCCCCTTTACAAGTAAAAACACGTTCAACTGGCTTACTATTATAACTCTCTCAAACGCGAATATCCATTTTCAATTTTCAATATGCATTTCAAAACGGATAACATCAAAGTAACATCTGCTTCCCACAACAGGCTACTATTAATAAATAATGCTTGAGCATTTCATACCATTATCGTAAAAATGACCCGATTTCCAGTGAGTGAGCACATTTGGAAAGTAAATTTTCCCAAGGTTTTCAGTGAATTTCATTCTTTATGAGACAACTGATTTTGACTTCTAGGCACATCTATACCTATGCTTCCTATGCGGTGTTATACTGCACTTTAGTCACCTGTGGCGAACCCTCATAATTGTCCACGTGGCCACAGGCAAAAATTCTTTGTTGACTGCCTTCTTTTGAAGATGGCTTTTGACCTCTCAACACCTTTCCGTCTAAACGTACACCCTTGCACCCGTCTTCTATTCACTTAGTGTGTAACCATCCGCTTTTTGCCGCTCTCGTAACCGCCCTCTAACATGCGACCTTTGGGGTCAATTCGTGCGTACACAAGCCCACACACGCGCACAAGCATCTTATGGCCTTCGACTAAAATGATTAAATTTACTGCCCCGTGGACTACATTTCAAGTCTACTGCCTGCGTTTCAATTTTTTGTATTTCGAACTTTACTTGGCATATCGTGTCGATTGTCGGAAGTATAGCGTATTCCGTCACTCAAAACTCCCGATGTGACGATGTCATTATCTGCTGTAATAACATTCGACATGATTTGATGTGCTTACATGTCTCTAGCAGCTTTTGTATGCTTGATGCACACTTGCACAGCTGCTGCGCAAATAGCCCCCTCCCACGATCGCCAAATATAAACTATTTCGGTGTCGGGTCACGGGATAGTCTTTTGTGTTACCTAAAGTGGTATGTGCATGCGCTTGGGTCGCTCCTTGTAGTGTTCCATCTTCGAAAAGTAGTCTGACTTGGGCATTTCTCTTGTTCTGTTTGATCGGCTCATGTTTCTCTAATCTAAAACAAGGCGTGCAGGTCTAAAGTTACAAAAAGAAGGTTTAGTAGTCATGTTGACAATGACCCGTTAATGACGGACAGACAGCCAGCAGACAAAAAAAGTCATTGGGCGAGATGCGATAGTGAAGGGGCTGCGAGACATGATTACTTAGTAAACTGATGCAGTCTGGCGAATTGTGGACAGTGAATGAGGTTTTAAACACAAACGATCATCATTAGCTAGTCATCAGTTCAAACATAAACGCAAGCTATTGAGATTTCACATGAATAAGACTTTCGGATGTCATCCACCAGATAACGATCGTATATGAACGTAAAAAAAAGGTCTCAATTTCTTGACTGCACTTTTTAACAAAGTTGAAATCACATAATAAGATAGGATTTAACGGGGATATTGTAAGAAGTAAGTCCCTGAAAAAGTTTCGTCCCACAGCTAGGCGATTATATTTTGGTTTTGCAGTTGCTGACCTAGTGATAGTGGTCCTCTAATATTTGCAAATCCTTCTTCACACCAAATCGGCAAAAGGGCTGGCACTTTTTGTCCTCATCCTTGTTTTTCTGGGTTTTGAAAGGTCAAATCTCTTAAGTTGATCCGTTTGTGCACCGACATGGGGACTCAACTGTCCTCTACAAACTGCCAGGTCTTGCACTAGATAACTCTTTTGCACATGCCAAACTTTGCATTGTTTCATCGAATGTACTCCAGGCCTCTTTGCACCCTCCCATAAACCATTGACAAGTCCTTGTTAAGGTGATCGGACTGCGCTATCAATAATTTGGGCCCGAGGAGTCTACGTGATCAGGTGCTAGACACACATGGTGCCACCAGTAATCAAAATAGAACCAATAAGCTTTTTACCACCTCTATTTTAGCCAGTCGACACCTAGTGAACATGATGTGTTTGATTTGTCTTACAGCCTGGCGGAGGAGCAAGAAAGGACAGAGCGCCTCAAATTTGACGTTCGCGAATACGAGGAGGAAAATGAAGATCTTTGCAAACGCATTCAGGAGACCAGCTCCAAGCTGCGCGACAAGGAGGCAGCCTGTGAAAGAGTACGTCTTTTGATCTGTTTATATTTTCCGTGCAAAATGTTGGGTTGCCGTTTTTTATGTAACATTTGTTTAAAGTATTCATATTATTAGGTACTGGCAAGAAACGGGTTGGTGCTCCGCTTCCCTTAACTCACTGATTTTGTAATTGCTCCTCTCCCTTCCCAAGAGTGATGCAATCATTCTCATTTCTAAGTGTCACAGCTAATTTGTTGGCTTGTTCTTCTGGCAAAAGCGCTCTTACCTAGGTGCGTGCACTTTATCGACATTCTGTACTATTACTCTTGCGATCCTACCTTCTCTGGTACAAGGCTCTTTTCTAAGCGATCACAAATGCTGTAGAACCGAGGTCCAAACAGGGCAGAGGGATTTGGCATCTGGCACCCTCCTTGCATTGGTGACCTTGATGCAATGCAAAAATTCACAAACCGGAGGGTGACTGAGGCCAGCATGAACTGACCTAATTAATTTCCCATTTGTACTTTGGCTGTGGCTCGGCCATGGTCCTAGATGAACAAACGCACTGATTGAAGCATTGTGGGATTAATGAGGGTTTTTCTATCATACGTTGCTTTTTTGTGTTTTGATTAAAATCTTTATAGATATGTGTGATATTCACACAAACTCGGAGAGTTTGGTATTCATTCGCATTGGCTCCAAGTTGCTCACTTTGCTATTTCACTTTAAGTTTAATTGCTTGACGACGTATTATTTCCTTTAATTCATTAGCTATACCATCGTTTGTGTTTTGGGTCCCTCACTAAATACATTGTAGGATATACGAGCTGCGAAATAGCTTTAGTGACAAAATACAGGATGACTGCTCGGGCGGGAATTTCATCTCCCTATTTTGAGGACCGAATCGACAGCTATTGATAGTTTGCATAATTGTGTGCATATTTACAGCAACTGTTTTTCCTTCACGCTGTGATAGAGACCATTCCAATGTTCAACTAATTAAAAATTCGTGCAAAACTTTGTAAACTATAATCTAGAAGGATGGACAAAAACGTGCGTTTGAAACAATGAAATCCGCCTTCACAATACTAAAATCGGAAACTGTCACTAAAAGGTTTCAGGGCGACTTGGATTTCCATGCGAAGAGTTTGGCGAAAAAAACTGGAATACCAATGCTCAATGTCTCACTATTTTCATTCTCTCAGGAATGCGGAGTTATAGTTGTTCGCGTGAATTTCTAAAGCTTTTCTTGAAGAATGAGGCAAATAAAAAATGTCAAGTACCTCCGTAGTAAATGAAGCCCCAACCGTTAACAATGTTTTGCTAATTTGAAATAAGGTTGTCATATTTGCGCCTTTTATTCTTTCCTAATCCTTTCCTTTCGACAGATCTGCTGTGGTTTCGGAGAGGAAGGGATGCCCAAAAGCTAACAGGCTTTTCTTTAACCTTTCACACTCCGTTCAGTACATGCTGAATTCAGTGTGAAATTTTTTCATTTTTATGAAAATCAAACCCAGTTAGCGCCTAATGGAGAAAAACCCATCTATCATCATTCAGACGATCGGATAAGTCTGATTTAGTCTGAACTCTCTGTTGCTTGAATACGTAATAGGATTTTCTGTGAAGTCTCTATTTTTTTGTTTTCTTTTTTCACAAAAATGATGAATGACGTTGAGAATGTAGTTTGAATCTTGTAGCAGTTATTGGGTGCATATTTAGTTTTTTGTATTTTGCATTTTCGATATCTATCAGGCAATTTAAACTTTAGGCTGAAGTTGTTAGGCTCGGAGAGCATTGTTAATTGCAAAGATTACTACCAATTGTGGCACCTTCCTTATTTTTGTAGTGTACGAATTGATGTGTAAGTTAGAAGCGTTTTCTATATAAACAGTTTTTCTTTCATAACAATCTGGGAAAGTTTTGGCGTAATGTATAATTTCAGCATTCATTTTATTTATCTGTTTCCTTGAATACCCTCTATTCTTTGTTAACTCGGACTTTTTGAAAACCTTGAAGGAATGCAAGTTAGAATGACAGTCCTGCGATTGCTTTCAGTTTGGCTTCAGATGGATTTTAGGACTCCGAATGTCGGAGAGGCACTACCTTGTAATTGCTTTTTCTTTAGGTTTTTGTTATAACACTGTAGACTTGATGAATTCAAAACTTATCTGGCCATCTTCTGGACCATTTTAGCTTCCCAACCGACATTGTTTTTTTATTCTAGAAATTTATTAAGTTAATCCTTTTGTTTCCCGCTTGAATTCTTCTGCTTAACCACAAATTTGTGAAGGTTGCAGGTCCTAGATTTTGGGTCCTCCAACTATTCTTTTCTCCTCTTAACTTTCAGCTCCTCAATGATCTGGAAGAGAAACGCGCCGAGCTGGCGGCACAGCGGAAGCTCTTGGACGAGTACATCCAACAGCAGCAACACTCACAGAAGGCAGCGGCAGCAGTAGCACTGGAGAACAATCATTCTAATGGGTTTGGAGCCACAGCAGGTGACACCACAGCGGGAGTGACGGCGGCGGCGAACGAGTTGGATCTGAAGTTCCGTGAGGCGGTGGCCTGGGCAGAGGAGTGTGAGACAAAGTTGGCCAATCAAGAGGCCTACTGGACCGATCAAAAGCTCCGCTGGCAGCGTGAGCGCTCAGAGCTGCAGGACCGTATTCGAGAGATTGTTCTCGAAAGAGTGCGTTGTTGTTACTCTTCACCCCTCGTCCATCCTGATCTATTGAGTTTTACTGTGAGCCATCTATTGCCGTCTCCTTGCGTCGTAGACCTTTGGAGCTCGATCTTTAACTTGTCGATCTCATCGATCTTGCATAGTTTTTGGTTGGCAGTGTTTGAGTCTCTGCGAGGCTAAGTCTGTAAAAGTTGATTTGCGGTGAGAATCGACAGTTTCTCCTGTTGGAATGCGAAATGCGGAGGATGTGGACGTTTACCTTCTCAGAACATGATCAAATCTATTCTCATAAGCAAGTTTCTCTAACACACTGAATTGCTTTCAATATGTACCATACCTTTACTCCGTATCCGGTGGCTAGGGCCACATACGTCAGATAAGCCTTTCAGTGCCCTAGCTACTCGTATAATTCGAACAAGAACTGTGTAAGATACTTGAGTATTTTCACGTTCAGAGTTGAAACTCATCAAGCTGTTTTAATTGCAGGTCATTATTATCAATCTCTCAATCCATTAACAAGTATCTGCGATACGATAAACGCAACTGAATTAGTAGAATTGCTTTGGTTTCTGTGCAGCACCATGCTGCTAATTTTTCAGGTGAAATCATCCGTATTTTGAAATTGTTTTGATTTCGGTAGGCGAATTTTGGAAAAATCTTTCAAGATGTTTTTTAAAGGGCATCAAAGTTCAACTTATCATTTAACCACCTCTTCAAGATGATAATTATAGAGTCATTTGATTGGTTTTGTGTAAATCTCATTCCGGTAACTTATTGTATGTATCAAAGCACCACTCTGATTATGAATAAAAAAATTGGTTCGAGCCAGCAGCGTGAAATTTTCATCGGGCTTGTGAAAGAGAGTTTTTATCGTATCCATCACTTTTGGGACTTATTATATGGCGAAAATGTGTCCAAATCCCAGGACTGCTCTTTTTTGGTCACTGCATAGTGCTGCTGCTCATGACTCACCTTCCGCTATAATCCAAAGGGTGTGTCGCCTGAGACGCGGCACGGCGTTTCCGCATTGCCAGAGTAAACAAACGATCAAACGAGTCGTCCCCACTCTGGTGGATAGGCTCTCCCACACTCCATTGAACTTTAAAAAAACTTCGTCTGTGTGTGTAGGCTGGAGATGTGGTGCACAAACTTGAAACTCTCTTGCTTGTGCGGATTTTTGTCTCATAGGGTTTGGGGTCTATCCTCCTCAGAAGTGAATCCATGTGTTAAGAATGGTTGAAAAAGCGTATAGGATGAATGGAGTGCTTTTTAACAAATTGTTAAGTTATTTCTTCCGATGGAGTCAACTAGTATGGTGAAATAATTGTTTCTCAGAATTTACTTCCCTTTTCGTAACACGTTTTATCCTTCTGCAGTTCCTCCTTTTCTAAGAGTTCGAGCTAAATGTGTGAGTTGCTTTTTATGAAAAATTCTGGTATAAATAGGCTATGGCGTCTTTCTGTGTCTAGTTATTTTTTATGAAACTTTTATGAAATCACCTATACCATATGGTCATGGTCTGGTAAAACCTTAATACTTTTAGCGTTATAAAAAATACAAATGAAGAGTAAATCTCCCCTCAAGACTTTTACCAACATTAGCATCTTTGAGGCGTAGAACTAAAGTGAAACGCAGCATCAGCCAATCAAAGTTGGGGTAGCGCACCACTTAGCAAATATAGTTTTGTGTGCTTGCAATCAATCTATCGACAGTCATTGCTAGTACGGAAGATGGGAAGTAGCACAAACAACTATGCTCATTTTTGAGCCCTGATTACACAGAGTGAATGTGTGAAGCATTTGAATCCTAGAATAGCTTCTTCTTTGCAGACGAGTTTCCTGGAGGGCGAGTTACGCCAAGAGAGGCAGCGTTGCACGGCGCTGGAGCAACGTGTGATGGTGTGGGAAAATCAGCTAGCCGAACTTGTCTGCATGGCTGACAATGAGTGGGCCGCCAATGACAGTCTTCATGTACGTTTTTAATCCTTCATGGTATTATATTGCCATCCCATACACCTGTTTACAGACATTCGTACCTTTGAACGCCACATCCTGTACTCTTGTTTTTTGAAACCACTCGGCTTTGTACATACCTTTGAGAGTACTACCAGCGATTTCTACTGCTTCCTGCATGGCCCATTCAGGGCGGGCCTCGGGTATACTTCTGGCACGTTACTAATTTTGAAGTCTGTCAGCTTGATCTATAAGTTTTAATAATGATTCATGGACATTTTCGGCGGTATCTAACGGCAAATCATGCGAGATAGTCGCTTGCACAACAAGTCTTTGCTTCATTAGTTTACTATTTTTGCCTTCTCGGGAAAGTACTTTCCATAATTTGGATTCGTTAACATTTTTACTAACGCTTTCTTTGGTAATGTTCCATCGAGGATGAGTAATTGTTGAGAGCTTTGTGAGAACTTTTCACCAGTGAATTCTGTTCTGTTAGGTCATTTCATTTAATAGTTCTCAAAAATCGTTACCTCGTGAAATACTTAAATATGTGTCACTTAGTTTAGGTCTCTTGAAGTTCATTTGTTATTATGAAAACTGTTTTCTTAAGGTGTTTCGAGAAACAGCATTGAGGCGTCTGTTTGAGAATGTGGAAAGTACACAGTAATAGAAGCGCTAGGGGCATTCACTCATTGTAGCCAAATGGTACACATCTTTATGTAAATTAACTCGTCGTTCCGCATCATCCATTCAGACGTAACAAGGTACACCATTATGGAAGTTTTATTCTTAGCCCACGGAAGGCCTGGGTAATCATTGGTATGGGTTAGGCTTGCTTAGCCCTTTCTCCTCTGCAAACCGGTGGGAGCGACTGCCAACAATTGTGGCACCTCTGTTTGTTCTCCCTTCCCGATGGGCTGTGAAGTCAGTTAATGCACCATCATCTTCGAATTCTTCAAACTGCAACTGTCATCAATGGTGTTCAAGGGGTTGATGTTGCATCGACATATCATGTTCTTCCTCACACCTCTCATTATTAATCCTAACTGTCTTTCCATAAGACAGCACCTCTGGCAAAATTCTTTTTGTATTCCATCTTAACAACTTTCATGCATTGGTGATTCCATCTCATCACCACCGATCCTCCCTAATGACGTTTATTTTTTGTCTAGGCGTAAATGCACTAAAGGTTTGGTGGGCTGTTGGTATGAAATGTCGGCAAGGGAATGCCATAATTTCAAGATTGTGATTAATACCTAGGAAGAATTAACATCTCAGGTGGTTAAATGTTGTTATTAAAACACCTTTTTTACCACATTACATTATCCAATCCCTGCAGGACACAGTGCTCCATCTGATTTCCGATCTACAGCGTATACGCAACGGCTCGTCGGATAGGTCGGAGTACGATGATTATCGCCCAGTTCCCAGCATCACCTCCGCAGCCATCAGTAGCGGCAGTATCGGGAGCGCAGTGGACTGGCGTCAGCGTAAGGCAGGCCGTATCAGCAAGATGGAGCGATTCAACCTCCAACTGGCGCTTAATAATGAGATTCGCGAACGCGAACTCGCCCAACAGCGCGTACGCGAACTCGAAGTACAGCTGGAGGAGACGACTACGTGAGCCTTTCTTTTTTTTCTTATGATACCTTAATTTGACCTGTGATGAGCCTCTATTTTTTGAATTTTTGTCTTTTTAGTCGCTTAAGTGACACCTCGAATAAATTGCTTCAGACGGAAAAGGAGAAAGAGACCTTGCAAGACCAGCTTGTGAAAGGTGCGCTATTTATCTGTCCTTCTTCGTGGTTATTCCTGGTGCTTAACCTACCATTTTGGAGGTGCACTGAATCAAAGTATCTTGGTACCAATCGGAAGAGTTTGGAGTATTATTTGGGGCAGTCATTAGTTTTGATGTTGACAGCAGCTTTTGAAAACCGTGAATTTATTGACCATTGCTCTGATGGGAATGAGGGAGTTTTACTCGCGCTAAACCACAGTTTCCCATCCGTTTCGAATCCTCCTTATTCCATCATCTAAAACCATTGTTTTCCTGAGATATGGAGGTTCGTACTTTTTTCTTGTTCCCTTTTGCCAACAGATTTGGGTATTGGTCTACTCCATTAATACCGCGAGGAAATTTATTGTATGCAACTTCGTCTACAGATTTGATGTGTACCTTGAATGCAGCCTCCTATACTTACTCCCTTGTTTAACATAATGCGAGACATTTTTCGAATGCAAACACGAGCGCAAAAGCAATTTCGCGGTAGATAAATTCCTAGCAATTGTGCAAGTTTCAGTCATTTTCTTCATAAGCTTCTTTCACAATGCCCTTTTTTGTGTTCAGCTTCGTAATTATGAATGAGCCCTGACAGTTGAGGTTTTTCCCCTTCTGCCACTGCACTGTTTTATGATGAAGACTTGAATTATGCACTCCTCGCCAAAGGCCACCCTGCCTACCAGTCCACAATGCAAAATTACTGCAGTTACTCCGCCACGTTCTTTTTTCTGTCGTAGCTATTTACTCTGCATGGAGGCATTCCATAGGTGGGAGGTCTGGAGACTAGAGGCTAGTGCCTATGGATTTTACGTTACCTGTTTTGGATGCGATTTAAAGTTTTTCGGTGGTATTTTTCCCTGTCCCGGGTGGATCTATTGAGTTTAGTCCGTAGGGTCATTCGCCTAATAGAAGGCATAACTCATGATTAAGGGGCAACATATTCACTTGAATGTGCATTTTTCGGTCTTTGGACGTGTTGAAACTTTACCCCATTTAAGTTATCGATGTATATCTACCATAAGCTTATTCCGCTTTACAAGGGGTAGGTTTGAGATAGCCTTTACCATGAATGTAATGTACCATCCCGGTTGCTCTTCAAGTTCCTATGTTACCAAAATTGAATGCTAGTGGCAGATCCATGAGAACTTTATCTGAACTTTATTCTGCGAATTTCATTGTATGCAGTTTCGGTTAACTGCATTTTTATCCAGGAGCACTATTAAAGTACATCAATTTGGTCAGGAGATCCGCTTAAATGTATGGATGAATATTTTTGGGCTCTTCTCTGTCCGTTACAAGTTAACTTCGCCCATACAGCCCTCGACAATTAATCTATCAAATGGTTCGTGTCTTGCTGCATCTTCTTTTTACCCAAGCATACCTTGGATTTAGATGCTGGACCATTTTCTACTAATATGCATTGATTCGCAACTCATTAATTCATTACTCTTGCTATTCCACAGAGGCAGTATTTTAAGTATTATCGTCGTTACTGGCGTAACTGTCGCTAACTACTGTCAGAAGGCGTACCAAACACGGGTGTCTGTGTGTACAATTTATCATCGTTTCCTACTACTCCCTCGTATTGCTTGTATAACATTCCCTTTCTCGGTGCGCTGCCATCGAAATGATGTTTTACACTTTCCTTTTTAGTGACCAATGAAGTTCGTAGGTCATGCATGAAAACGACGGAACTGGAGGAGTCTGCGTGTCTTCGTGCGGAACTGGTGAGCTTGTACTGTTACAGACCCTCGAATCTCTTTGTCTTATTTTCCTTCTGATCGTCCTATTGATTAGCAAACTCATCAGATAGTATCTGAACTTAACACACCAAAATCCACCCTCGAAGGGTTGGTATTCATTTTCCTTGTTTCTCCGGTGGTACAAAAGTCAGCAAAATTAGTTGCCTTCTGGTGTACCTACTATCAGCCACATATTTTTTATAGCTTCGTACGCAATGCAAAGTTGTCTGAATTTCGCCTAAGGGTAGGTACCTTTCTTGCTCCGCATCGCCGATTTTATTGACCAGCTGGAATAAATTTTTTCAACCCGTTCACATTTGAAAGTTCTGCTTGGCCACCATAGATTGTTTGAACTCATCACTGAACTCCTCAAGCCGGAAGCCATGTTTCATCAATGTGATTGAATTTATAAAACACATACTTCTAGCCTTGTGTCCTCACTTTTAGTGTGCCTGTGTACGTGTGCTTGAATGCTGCAGGTCAGTTGTTTCGTCTCACGGATATTGGCCTCGTAATATTTTCATCATGATGGCATGCAGGCGTACGATTCACATTTCCTCCTTTGTCTCAGGTAGGAACCGGCATTCTTAAACGACCTACTCTAATCTCTTCTCCTTTCTGCTAAATTGTGACCCTTTCGAGTATATTTGTTTTGAATTTCAAGGGCATTGGACAGCTCTTTGCCCACTAATAGGCTATGATTGAATTGGCCACAATTTCGTGTCTTAATGTCCTCCACGTTCTGTTCGCATTGTGATTGCATTTTTCCAAGACTACACAAATCAGATTATGTTTTCACGTTCACTTTTAATTGCACCTCTACACGCATATGTGATCGTTGCGATAGCGTGGCTAGTCGCCATGCCTGACGCCTCAGCTCTCACGCAATCCCGCTGGAACAAGGTTTTACTCCACCTTTAAAACAAGTTACTACGCTCGTTCAATTTCCTATATACTCTTAAAATGTGAGTTTTTTGTTAACAGTCAAGAGGATCTTTGGATATTCCAATTTAAATCAAATCTGAATTTTTATACCAAGACTTTATTGTGTATGTGGGTGTAGGTCTCCGTGCTTATTTTCCCCAGTTCCCCATGCTTCTACCGTATCCTTTGGTTGCGTTCTTCAAACTCTTTAGTCTAAGGTTCATATCTTGATTCCTCTGGTACCACAAGTTGCTTGCATTTTGTGAGGTTATAAAGATATTTGATGTATCATTTTTAGGTGCCTATTAACTGAACTACTATTGAACTGGCATTTTTAATCTTTGTTGTCAATTAGTCAGTTAACTTTAACACTTCAAGATCAATCAACACTATTCATCGTCATTGGTTAATATGCTTAGCTGCTTTATGGTTATTGAGTGGTATTTTGCACCTCCTGCTTTCCTTAATAAAGTGGAATCAGTAGGGCTTCTTATTCCATTCTCATTATTCTTCCATAATCCCCCGTTTTTTCTCATGGAGTTTTGCTGTTATCATAAATTATTTCGTTGCTATTCTCATTAAATATTTCAGCACCCTGAAATGCAGGTGTTTTCCTTGGCCCTGCTATTTTCCCTCCCATTTTTGGAACAAAGCGCTCCATTTTTCTCGAGAATCTGACAGCAAGTCACTCCATTCACGTCGTTATTCCTTCGTCCCGTCTTCTGCATTCTTATATTAACTGCTGTCAGGCTTTTACATTACTATTCTGCACCAAATAGCTTTTTTTTTCTTAAGAAACAAGTTACCTGGGCATTGCTTTGCAATTTTTTATCAACTTGAAGCAAGTTATTAAAAAATTGTCAGTTTTTTAGACTCGTAATGCCATTTTGTGCTTCTACATCACTCTAGATTTTTTAATGTTCCACTGTTCTGTAGTGCTATTAATGGCTTCGTCTCCGTAATCATGACTTAAAAGCATATTTTAAGGTTTGACACTTGATTTTTATTATTACTGACGTCCCCAGTTTATAGCGCTATAAACTGAGAAATCTAAGCAAACGGCGACGAGCCTGCCACATGATAAACCAAGTTTACGATTCCTCAAGGCATCGATTATAGTGGATCGCACACTGAAAGAACGTCATCATTCCATTATTCTTCTCCAGGTATTAAAATGCAGCTGTATTAAATTGTCATTATTCCGTAATCACAAGTGTACTCTCTCAGATGTATCTTTAATGTTGTTTATCATTTTCTGTAAAATACTCTGCTTAGCAGTTATAAATTTCCCGGCTAATCGAAATGTTTTGCTTAGAAGTCGTGTGAATGTGACCGAACTTATACTTTTCTTAAAACAGGAGGAATGCTAATGATTCTAGAAGGACCCACCATTTCAATACTGAGTCGTACATAATTAGGCGTGATGCCAGAAGCCAGGTCGGTTGCTTTTTTTCTTTTGTATGAGACACTGCTTGCACTTTATGTCACTCTGAAGGAAGTGGAACTGCGTATCAGTCAAAGGCGGAGGCGGCTATGTAGGCAAAAAGGAAGAAAGCTAGTTGTTAAATCAGCTTTTTCCTAAAGTGTTAGCATCCTGACATCGCCCGATTCCCTCCCAAATAGGCTGTATCTCCGTCAGTAGCTTTCTTAATATCATAAAGACGTACAGTATTATTAAAGGTAAGAAAGAACGAGAAACGAATGACGAATAAATAATCTAATTGATCTGATCTAAAAATGGTCGCATCTTAGCACTGCTTTCACCTGCCCACCTGCACCCATTCCAAGTTAAAGAACGTAGTACTCGATTGTGATAACTGTGGAAAAACGGGGGATTATCGTTTTACTCCTCCCTTTCATTCACCAAGCTGAACGGGGCGCATACATCGGCCCGCCGGACGGTAGAGTCGACTACAGTGCGTCAGACCTCCAAGTCCTCTGAGAAGTCCATCTCTCTCGGAAGCGGCAGTGGTGTCTCTACGAGTTCGCACAAACTAGTACCAGACAGCTTTTCCATCCCCACCAAATGCCTGGTCTGTGCGAGCTTACTGCTAGGTCAGCACTGGCAGGGCTTGCGCTGTCAACAGTGCGGCTTTGCCTGCCATCTTCAATGTCGTCAGGCCGCCGCCTCTCTTCCCTGCTCTTCCAAGACTGTTCCCTCCGGAATGCCCTCCTTCGGTAGGACTCATCTTCCTTACTACTGCTTGTTCCATAGCTCTCGTGGAGGGTACTGGAGTTTGGTTAGATTCAGAAGCAGTCATGGGGCTTGAGGTTGAAGCTCCTTCTTTTCCCCTTCGCAACAATTTAACTAGTCTCATTTGTCTTTTTTTCTCTTTCTGCCATGAAAGCAGTTCATGGTGATGTGTGTCTGCAATGAGTAGGTGAGATATGTCAAATTTTGCTAATTTGGATTATTGATGTCTCTGTGAATTCTTCATACCTCGTGCTGCGTTACCAATAGTACTGTCCTTAGTCTGTAAGAAGGTCTGGGTGATTAAGGATGTGCTATTTTCGGGTATGAGCTCGCGATATTAAAAGTGTAGTTCCTAGGTTACCTCTGAAGACCTTTTTGAACGTGCAAATCTTAAAGTAGGTTTATTGTACATGCATAAGGCTTCGAGTCCGAGTGACGCAGGTTGGGCATGAGCCGAGTTCAGAAGTAGGATCATGGAATTAAAACGAAGAGCATTTTTCTTCAGGGTAGATCAACTGACGGCGATGTAACCTTCCAGTAAACACTTGGTAGGAAATATGCTTTTCGTTGGAGATCTTAATAATACAAACAATATCTGAAAACTCAATAGCTAGTGTCGAATCGTGGCGGACTCGACTCCGCGTCCATTTCAAGCATCCATCCAACAGTGGTCAGATGTACCGATCACTTAACCACCTGAAATCAATATCACTAAGCTGGGTTTGATATTTTCAAATCCCCTTAGTACTGTGTTGCGCCAGGCTTCTCCCATGGAGATTTCATAAGGTGAATAAATCTGAATAGAAGCTCTTTACAAGTCTACGAGCACACTGTTTAGAGAAGTGATAGACAAGGAAGCGATCAAAAATTACGGTGACTGAAGAGCTTGTGTGATTAAAACACAGTTCAAACACGTCGTCCTGCTTTAGCTCGGATCCTTCTGACCGCTCACATTTCGCCTAGAGCATCGTGGTAAGCCCTTCCGATTAAGCCTTCACCTCAGAATTAGGTCACTTCAAAGGTAAAGCGCGTCCTTGCGCTTAATGGGTCTATGCATACCAATCATGGCTAAATAGAAATCCACACGTATACATACCGACGGTCGGTCAAGACTCCTACCACGTTGGAATTTTCGATCAATTTCGTTGTGGTGACACCAACTAGTCGTTATGTTTGAAATCTTTATCAGGTACTCTGTGGGCGATTGCTGTCAAAAAAAAACTTACAAATTTTATGTTGATGTAGTGGGTCTGACGCTTCCTTGGGGGTTCTTTAACTTTATCTCCCTTATTGTTGTTCATGAGCTTATAGTATGTACCATGTTTTTGTTGGATTTGGCCCTCAAAGTTTGGGTTCCAACGAAATCCCTCTATCGTCTTGTAAGCCTTACTACCAAAATAAACATATTGTCACTTTTCTAGCTGCAACCCTTTATTTATTGCTCTTTTACTACTGAAGCCTAGATACTTGTTCTGACTGTAATAAGCATCTCGGTTGGCCAGTATACACAGTGAATCTCTTCACAATGATAACACTCACCAAGGTATGCTATTCGGTCTTCAACATTTTTTGTTAAAAATAATGTCGTTACCTAATCTTTATGACAATTTCTGCTTTTCATTCTCCACCTTTGATAGATCAATCGGTCACAGTACTAAAGGACATATTCCTCCACACATTTTAATTAGATCTATACTGTTTTTTTTGTGAACATCTTCCACAATACTTTTTTGAATGCAGTAGTATGCAGTCCATGCTCGATTAATATCGCTGAGGTCGGGTTTCCTAGCAAGTTAAAAAATATCCAACCTTTACAAGTCTCATCTTGTCTTCTCGGGTGGTGCACCTCTCTCGCCTCTAATAATGTGAGGAGTAATACACAAAACACCTGCTCCATACTGCAAACACGACCCACACCACGCCCTTGGACTCACTCCCGTACAACTCTCCGTGGGGCTTTTGTTTGATCACCAGCCTTGGATGAGTAAACGCTACTGTTATAGTTTCTGGCCGACGGCACCGCTATGACCACAAAAGCGGCTCAAGCCTTCTCTCTCAGCGTGAATCACGCACTTGTTGGTACTTCTGCATACACCCCTCGCCCTCTTTTTTAAAACGGGATTTCATCTTAATCCCCCTCTTTTCTATCTTTTTGATTTCACATTATAATATTCTCTTCCATTTCCCTTTCATGACTTGGCATCGATTCACATGTTTATAGTTTAGTAGTATCCATTTAAATCACAAGGAAACACTAGCTGGGTTGTTCTCTTTTGTGCCTTAAGTTAGTAACTACTAATATCATATGCCTTATGTCACTCTTCACTAAGCTTAAAGCAAGGCCTTCTCCTAGGTATTATTGCCTTACGCAATCCAGGATTGGTTTTTGATTCACATGCATACCATAATGGAAATGCATCTCGGTGTCTAGAAATGGATTACTGGTCAACTCATCAGTTGCCATAAGTTTGTATTATCATGAAGATTCTTTTCATTATTCATATTATTTTCCTAACGAGTGATTTTATGATGAGTCAGCTTTGCCTTCCTCCTTGCCCTACTGAGTCTGGGGTGTGTTGTTAGTCCTCAAGTCTTTTAAAGTACTAGTCGGTCCATGCGTATCTCAGTACCTTAATCTTGGTGCCACACATGCAGCGTCGGGGAGTCCTCTCCAGGGATGCATGCGTGTGAATAGGACTTTATTACACATGTAGATGGATGGGCTGGTGGAATGTTTAATATGAACGAAATACCATGATGCGAAGATGGCGATCCAACCACCCATAACAATTAATATGGTGAGGAATTACTAGGTCCGCTGGAGCGTTACGGACATGAGGGTATTGTGGTAAGTTCATTCCAGTGGCATTTGGGATTCGCTTTCTCCATTTCGTCTTCTACAATGTCCATTTCGTCTGGGTTGTTATAACTGCATATGTCAAGGCTGTCCACTCGCCGTTGGTATTCGGTGACAGTCCAAGGTCCGCTTCACATGCACGTCCCACACTGACTCACTGGTCGTCTCAACAGTGCAGGTGACCAGAGTAGCAAATGTGCACACACATTGGCACGTACACGTGCGCAGTTTTGTGCTAATTTCTTTGTGCTAACCACCCCCTCGATGAAGTATTTGGCATGACAACTCAACTCGTTGGAAGTCCATTTGGTTTCTTTAAAAGACAGTTCTTCAGGTTTTTCTCGTCTATGTCTGAACATGAATTAAAGACGTCACAAAGCATATACAAACAGAGGTCTGACTTGGTATCTCGATTTCTTTGTTTCGGAAGTGTCGGTAAAGGTAAAGTCTTGCAATTGTTTTAATTTTTTAACTCAATGGAAAATAAAAACTTTACTTTTGTTCATCCTATTAGGATTTTGTGCATTGCGTTTGGACCGTAAATTTTCCTTAGCTTGTTTCTCTGCTGCAGACACCTGACTTACCTCAGAGAAGCTTATAAATGCACTGAGATCAGGAAGTGGTTATGTTATAAGCGCACAGAAGGGCTACAAGGCTAACGGCTTGGTGCAGAATCACTGGAAATACAGCATACACCGTCCTACTACGGTATTGTCCCAACTATATCACAATAATTCGGGGGACTGGAAGCCTAGACGCTGCGCCGCTTATTTCCTTAGTGGTATTCGGTATCTAGTGTCCAGCTGATATCGCAGTAGTAATCCTTCTCGTCGTGTGGCTCAGCAAGTGGACGATGTATCACACAACAATCAGCCTGCTTAGTAATGTCTTTCCATGAATTTGATCACTTTTTCTCCTCTTTTTAGACGCAGATGTCGCCTTTGGTCTTGGCACCATCATTGAGGGGCCTGTTAGGGTTCGTTTTTCTCATTTTGCGCATTTTTTGTTTTCACTTCAGCATTATTGCCTCGTTAAAATTTGTCAAATCATATTAGTAACTCAGTCGTTTGCAATTGAAATTTTTTTTTGTTAAAAGAGGTTGACTATTGGCCGTCACTTTTATGAGATCTTCATCTTAAGTCGGCCAAATTGTTTCAAAAGCTTTACTCCTCTTGTTGACCTATAATTTTCTTCATTTTCAGACTCCAAAAGGAGACATCAAACGCGGCTGGGTTCAGCAGTACGCCTTCCTCTGCGATATGCGGCTCTTCATTTATGATGTGAGTAGTTTTCTCTTCGCCCCACCCACTGTTTCTGGCTGATGATTCTCTGCCTTCTAAATCTACGTAATTGTTAGCTGGATGGAGAGAGCCCATCGGTGCAATCTAGAAGGTGGTGCGATACAATAAATGCCAGTGGGTGATTTGCTGACGTTTGTTGTGCGGCTAGTGGCGGCTTGGCCGTACACGTTCCACAACCACTACATCTGCATGTGTGCACAATTATGAGAGCATTCGTTACTCCCTGGCTTTTTTGTATGGTGCGAAAAAAATGTGCTGGCAATTATGCATTCCGTGCACGAATGACCACTCTCACTCGCTGCGTCAATTGGCATTATCATATGTATTCTTGGTGACTTTTTCGCAGCACTGATTTATGCGATAATTTATTTCTTTGGATCATAGACTACCGTGGTGTTTTGTCCAGGAGGATTTGGTTCAAGATGTTGCAGTCTTTTGCAAAATGCTTCAAATAATTTGGTAGTGCTCGAGTTGTCTTCAACGTCATTGGGAGATCACACGGGTGCAGAAGTATCCACAGAAGGCTGGTAGCATAGACAGAATGAGCAGGGCGTGTAGCCCGGCAACAAATACTTAGCATACCGTGATTTTACATGAAGATATTTTTTATTTATTTATTTAATCAGTTCTCGAATATTTTCTAGAGGGCGGTGGTTTGCATGCATTGGACATCCATTGTGGTCTTATTATAGTCAACATTTTAATGGATGTTGGTGTAAATTTAGGTGGTAATAGATCAGCTCTACCTTATTCTTGGGGTGATGCCCTTCCGTTTCAAAGTCGCATGCACCTTCTTAAATTGTTTTAGATTTTCAGCAAAATTTCCGTCTGGCTGACTTCAAATTTTAGCTGCGAAAATGGATATGGCGGTGTGAAGCCTGAAATTACAGTTATAAGCAAGGCTTAATTTACTGGAAATGCTGCTTTGATCACTATTATTACTAAATGTAATTCCAACTCCACCATGGCTGTTGTTTTCATTTTTAGGGAAATGTGAACATCATAATGGCAATTCTTTGACAGTCAGAATTATCGTAGTGCCAAATATGCCTAGGCTCAGACCAAAGTTCCGCTTACAAATGGAAAGTGGGGGGGGGGGGGGGAGGAGTTACTATAGGACAGTAGCTGGAAAAATGACAGCAGTATCAGAAAGTTGCCCTTAAATTCGGATAGCATCGTGCCTCGTGATGGCATTAGTGATTGGGACCGCCCTTCGAGGAGGACGACGACCCACCATATTCAGCGTCAGACCATCTTATGTCCCTTACATTCATCCCAACCATTTGTTTACACTTTTTACTCGTTGGTAATTTGTATCACACCCTCAGAGCTCCCCTATCCCTTATAATGGGATATCCTAACCTCAATGCAAATTGGTTTATTAATTCATCGAAAACCGCACCTTTGATAAATTGCGTCGAAATGCGAGCCTACTTTTTTAATTGCATTATAAATAGTTTCCAATTAAGATGGTTCATATATTCAATTCTTCTTCCTATTTACTGCATATCTTTTGTCCGAAAAATTACTACAACTTTCAACGATAGCCATTGTCAAAGTCAATTCGGAATATGTGGTGAATTGTTTCCACCAAGATCAGTACGTTTGTGGCAAACCGTTTATCCTCATCCGTCTTAGCTTGATTGACGTCTAATCTAGATACCCTGAGATGAAATTAAAGAATGCACCCTGGCCTTTGATATCTATAATCCTATCAACGAAATCGAGCGTTTTCTGGATATACAAATGTCAGGGAGATGTTCGTTATTGGTTTATTTGTTCTTTGCACACTGCTACGAGTATTGAAGATGCGGAGGTGCCCACTCTTACACTCCTTTAATTTATGCGGGTGGCATACATTCAAGTAAATTGAACCGGTCTGTACCCTCGTGAGATCAGTTTGCTATTCTTCCACTGGTTCTTTCCCCTCGATAGTCGAAAAGACGTATTACTTTTGCTACACCTCCGACAGATGTGTTGCGCTATCAGTCTTCGTCAATCCTACTGCAATTTAGTCCATGTTTCTACGTGGCGAATAAATTTTTTTCCACTTGGGAAGGTGATTTGTTGTTCCAGTGAAAGTTTTCATTGCTTTCTTCACCTGACTTATGGTTGTATCCTTGAGCGTGGAATTACTAGTTGCTGACGCACCGTATGACTTCGAGCAAAAGCAGTATTGCTAAACCGATTACTCTATTAATTTGAGGCGTTTCGAATAGATTTCGCCTGTTTTACTAAGTGTAAAGTTGACGAATCTTAAACTAACTTTCTTCTATCAATTTCCTGTTAATTTTGCAAATAGATGTCAAAATTTTTTGCCTTTACTGAGTGGTGTAAGCACCTTAGTACGGTCATGTTTCAACTGTTCGAACGCTTCTTGTTTAGCATTAGTCTGTTCATTAAATGACTATGTCTATATGATGGGTAGGTGCTCTCACCATGCATCCGTTCGAAAACAGTTCCTGAGTGTTGACCAGTAATTTTAAACTTTTTCTGACTCGAATAGATCAGCTAGATCTTCAAAACCTGGTCTTTGAAATGCTTATTGGTTATGGATTGCCTTTCCAAGTCTTTCAATTCCCCCGGAGTAATCATGTATTAAAGCCAGTTACTCGTTTTCATTGGCATATTATGCCAATGAACTGTTTCAGCTGTTAATGGGAAAATCCTGACAATTTCAAGCCGTCATACTTAAAGGGAAATTTACTAATCGATTCATCGCAGTAGTCAGTTCAACCTGTCATTTTTATCTTCCGACCTATTCTTGAATACATAAGGGACATTGATTCAGGAACATGTTTATTATCAACATAAAGGTTGTACGTGTATGGCTTTCGTGTTTAGTAAGCTTCAGACTTCTCGTTCACACGAAAACGTTCGATAATTTGAAATTCAGCCAAGCTAATGTCTCCTTCCTCTGCCTCACTGTCAGTGCACAGCAGTGCGTCGCGCCCGTACGGTCTACCAACCAAGTACGGAGACGTCGCGCGATCCGCGCGCATTGACTCTGGCCACCGACGGTGGCGTCGGTGGCACCGTGGCCTCACCGAGGTCGACAGGCACACTCTCTATCACCCTGCCCTACAACGGAGGTACACAAATAACCTACGAGACGGTCTACGACATCCACGGTAACGCGCCCACCTGCGTGATCGACCTCAATGTTTCTGGCTTCGAGGTCTCTCGCGTCTCCAATACCGATGTCATTCACGCCAAACGCAGTGAAGTACCACACATCCTCAAGGTACCGCGTTGATCTTCTCTCTCCTCTTGTACCTCTGAAGATGCACTTAAAACTGTGAAAACTGGGTGATAGATGCTTAGAGCCATAGGTAGTGTACATCGTAGCTGTAATTAGTTTAATGCGCAATAATATCTGGGATCAGTATATCACCTCGTCTCCTTCTCTTTCCTCCTCCCCAACCCTCAATGAGTGAAAATGTGTTAGTAGCACTTGAGACTGGAATTTCAAACGGTATGGGATCGAAGGCGCAGTGGTACGCAAGTATGATCGTAATTAATTTTGTTGGTAATAATATATGGACCTTAAACAACAGTTATCATAGTACCCAGATTAATATTTCACGAAACCAGAACAATTTGTGTCATCATGCCGCATGTAAAACTAGGAAGGGTAGTCTGGACGATAAATGATCGAAATTGCAGAAGATCAGCATCAAGAATGTTATTAATTCGATGGGCAACACCCCAGGGAACCTAGAATTGTTGCCACATCCGAAGTGGATATCAGGACCTGTAGAGGTAGGGCAGTAGTTGATCTGTCATGGTGCATTTAGTAATGAGTGAGGCTTCAATGACGTATTGTTTGTATCTAAACTGTTTCGTTCCAGTACCTGAATCATTCTTAAGATCGTAAAATACAGTCGTCCGTGACTAACTGTAAGCACATAAGCGTAAATCGCATTTCACATTGAGTTTGAAAACTCCTCTATTTGCTGTATATAAAGACTGATCGTCGAAAAGTTACCACAGTTATATCGATCCCCAAACCGTTTTCAGGTTTTGCGTACTGAGTTCAGCTAACTGAAAGGAGCCAGATTCTATTTCTACCATGAAACATCATGTCTTAATTTGAAAGACATTGCCAGTTATTTGTAACAGAAGCGGTTTGGCTAGTGATGCTACGCATCTTAATCTACTGTTCAATTGCCAAAACCAGTTATACCCTGTAAAAATATCGGCCAAACTTTGAAGCTTAGACACTGTCTAAAGTGAATAAATGCTTTGTTCTGTCGACATTCGGATGTAATTTACAGATCCAATTCAGCAATGAGCGATAAGTGACATTAGAGAGATCCAAGATAGCCATGTACCAAAAGGCGTCTCCAATTATGTGAGTGTGGATGTCAGTACAACGTGACGGCGATTCACAACAAATCTGTCCCTTTAAGGTTTGCATTCATGCAAGTCAGAGACATGTTTGCAGTCGCTCTACAGCGTTTCATGCTTGGGTTACTACTAAAGGCGTCATGAGGCGTTGCTTTAAAATAAATGATCTTAAGTTTAAGGTCCAGGAACCAGTTGTATGAGCAATGAGAGCGGAACTTCTAGCCACACCCACGAAGGTCGATTATTGAAGGATTGGCATAACTCGCGTAAAAATACACGTCCTAAAGTACCTGGGAATGGATTGTGGTGCGAAGTCGGCAAGTGCAAGAGTTGACGTAATGTTAAAAAAAGCACCCTGGCCGTGATTAGAACCATAGCCTGAATGGACCACTTCTCGACATGTAGACGTATCTCTTGAGTTATTTCTCAAAGTGTAAGGCATCTATTTGGAAGTGGCAGTATTATGAGCATACTGAAGTGCAGGAAACTAGTGACGTGGGAGCGGCCTGGACAGGACCCCATACCACCACCGTTCGGCCTGATGCGTGGGAGACTGAAGTAACCCATGTGAAAATAAAAACAGTATTCTGCTCCAAAACACTTGAATTGAGAATTGGGAGCGGAAAGTGAAATCGGTAGTTACGAGACTTGTCGTTGACTCTCCGTATAGGTGAACCCGGATGACTACGCAGGTAGCGTACCGGTGTATCTCCTCTTCGAAACGCGCGAGGAGTGCGAGCGGTGGTTCAGCGCGCTAGAGGACGGCGCACGTCTGGTCTATCGCAACTTTGCACGCACTCCTGATTCCCAGTGCCTCCAGTTATCCCTCCTCTCCGATCCCTCGTTTCCTCTCATCAAACACATCCTATCCGCCTGTGTTCTTGGTGAGTGATCTTTCTCCTGCTGCCTCTCATGTCCTCTCCGAGTTTACGGGATGGTTTTGCTTTAATCAGTTTGTTTATATCTAATCATCTTCGACTCACCCAATTCACCGCTGTGCTCCACTTCTAAGTGATCTTGTCGTTCATTGTCTTTTAGCCACTCGAGAATAGGCGTTTTTCGATTAAATGCTGTTCATTACTACTGGTTTTTTTATCTAGGTTTCAAGTCATGCGACTCTTTATTCTTGCTCATAAGCTTCTCTGATTTAAGAATGATTCTGCATTATATCTCTGATTCATTTTTGTTTCGCCATCCCCTTGACAAATTAGTCTGTTTTCGCCTAAAAGCGTTTGTCTTAAGCAAATTACAGCAAAAAGCTCTGATGACCAACATGCTAACTTATCTCGGATCCAATCTCTACACTTATCTGTCGCATAATTTCTTTCTGGATTCTTCCATGTAGACCATGAATGCAAGAATTATATTTTCTTGACTAATGGCACTGGTTATTTCATTGCAATGCTGTATCTGACCCATGCTTAATTTTCGTCGTTTTGCTACACCTCTGAACGATATGGTTTTTATCAAAAAGCAGTTCTTTTATATTAATTACCATTGGTCAATGGTCGGAGACTACTCACAAGCTCATCTTGTTGCCGGTTTTACTTGAATTCTCCGCATTTCCTTGTTAATTGGTTCGTGTTTCCATCAAAGGCACCTACAATGCGGCCCTCGTGATGGCCTACATTTAACCGTCTTGTTGACTTTTTGAAAGGAAATAATTTTCAAACGTGATTTTGACCCCACTGAAGGAGGTTCATGAATTTAATGCAGCAATTTTCGGTCAGGCCCAATGTTACCATGATTCTATTGGCCTCCCCGCGATAAGTTTAATCCTTTAATCTGAAATCTCTTCAGTTTCATTCATTTCTGGCTTGTGTCGAAATGACGTTCGTGATCGCTAGACCGCATCACTCCGCGAATTTCTGAACTATTAAACACAGAAGCAATTGTCAAGTCGATTCACCGTCGGTTTTACTTAATTCTACCTCCAACCTAATAAGAGGGTCGGTTTACTTGCTCTGAATTGATGAAGAATTTCTGAATATGCACCTATGGCTGGTTTTAACTCGGAAATAGGCCTAACTCTAAAAATGCCTAGGCCTTACACTTTCAACATCACCTCGTTCGAATTAGCATTCTCTTCACTTCTTTTGAATCCTTCGCCTTGTTCCGGGTCTCCACTACAAAATTCTGCGTTTTACTGTGCGAGGACGCATATTACTGTTGGTAAATTTGCGTTCACATAGGTTATTTTAGTCTTAGTTTGCAACCTCCTGACTCTTGATTCATTCTTGATTTCGGTAAATGCTTGAATTACGATGGTAACATCACTTGTGCTGCTCGCACAAGCTGAACATTTAAATGACCTTAACTTCATATAATTTGTTCACACTCGACCTTAGATGTGCTTCTTGCTTTTCCAGATGTTAAGCCGTCCAAGTATCCTTCTGTTGTAAACATAAACGCGTGATACTAATTGTATGTACTTAATGGATAAAACGTTTGACTCTTTTTCCTTACTTTCTTCAACAGATGAACACCGAATCTTAGTGGGAACCGAAGATGGTCTATACATCGTGGATCTACGCTACAAAAGTAAGTCGCCCCTTCTGCTCAAGCTTCCTCGCCTTTTGATCTTGTAAGATAACTCAGTGCAAAGTCTTCGACACCGTAGGACGTTTATTCAACAACGTCGGTAAATTGATGATAGTTCCGCTGCTTATGATTGCCGCGTGCATCACCTATTTCCACCTTAGAGATTCAGCTGATGAAAAAAATGCACCACCACCCGTGAACATTTTCGTGCTAATAACGTAGTCTCTATATTCAAATTGAGGCGTGATAACCTATCCAGTAGGCAAATATGGTTCTGCAGAGTATACTTTTTTTGACCTTTTTCAGAATCACCAGGCGTAATGCCCAAAATTTTTCGGTCTATCAATGATTAGTTTGTCTTAATGTACTTACGGACTGGTGTAAAAGACATCGTTTATTCATCTAGCAATTACTCTCCTGGATGTAGTGCGGGAGGACGTTCTTGAGCAACGTTTTACGAATCCTTTTAGTGGTGCAAACTCCCCCATTATTCCTCTAGTTCATGTCTGAGTACGTGCGTCCACGGCATGCAATTTGTCTAGATCCCTACAATTAAGAGGAAGTAGAAAGCGGTAACTCGTTCTTCTTGCCTGATTGTGAACTCTTTGGATGATTTTTTCCTTTGTACACAGATTCTGCAAGATTGAATTTGGGCAGACTAAGAGTGCATAATGCTGTTGCTGTTCTCATTTAGCCTACGCGCGGGTTGGGGAGAAGAAACCCATCTACCAGGTGGAGGCCCTGCCAGAGGAACTACAGCTTGTCGCCGTCATTCAAGGTGCGTTCTATCACTACTATCACCATCTTTCCCCTTTTCTCTATCCGATCTTTGCTACTTCTTGTCCTTTCTGTCCATTTCGAGTTTATTTTTTAACCCACACTCATGAACTCGATGGTTGTCCTCTTTCTAGATTTAGATTTGGCAGAAATTCCATCCTCTCATTCCAATCTTTTTTTTTCATAAAATGGTTGTATATTAAACCCCTCGAAATCATTTAGGATTATAGTAAGACTAAAGTAGTTAAATGTGGTCACTTTTTAGATGTAGGTTTCACATTTCGCTTTTTGGGCGAATTATTGAAGGCCTTGTGATTCCTGAGTGCTTACCACCACTTATTAACTATGTATTAGAAGTAGCTCAGTTTACCTAAAGCACCTACAGGCAGCATTAACGAGTTGAGTTGAAAATAAATCTATGTGATTGGTCATTATTTTTGAGTAGTCGGATCCTCTCTCTTGGAACAGTAGCCGAATTATCACTGAGGGAGTCACTGATCACAGAAACTTAGTTGTAGCTCGGGATAAAGGCTAAAGGAACGTAAACGCCGAATTCATCCTAATTTCGATCTAATGTGATGCTTTCAAATGATTCACATATTTCTACTTCCGAGTTGGCCCGTTCATTATGTCCACTCTTCGCATTACCGGAATCCAGAGTCTTGCCTCGATTTTACAGTCTTTTTAAAAGTCGTCTCATTTAGTTGGTGGCTCGTGAAATTGAAGACATTTGCATTTTTGCAAATCATCCCAAAATTCCCTGTTAAAGTTGCATTATAACCCGTTTTATTGCTTTCGTGTTCTTCATTTCTACCCTTGCTTACCATGCACATCGCTTTTCTGTGTAAAATCACTTCCCTTGGTTTTAAAAAACACCTTCAAGCCTACTCCATGTTGTATGAATAATTTTATGGAGACTTCAGTTGATTACCTAAGGAAAAGTTGTTTTCCCCTGTTGGTTTTGTATGAATTTAAGAAGAACTTTAAACGCTGCATTTTTACCCACCTGACCACACCGAAATTGAACTTAGAAAACCTCCTTAAGAGGTTGTCCGTATTCCCCTTTACACCACCAATGAAGAGTTGACTTATTTAACTTGTACAATTGATCTCCTCCTTCGCTTTCACATTCCGCAGGTCTTACTTTGGATTCATGTTATCGTTAAAGCTCTCCTTTATTATCCTATCAACTTGATACGGATTCAGGATTCTTCTCAGTCCTCGCATAATTCACTGGTTTATTTACAAATTTCCACTAATTACCTATCCCTCTATGTCTCGTCTCGTCACGTCCTTAATTTCCGTACTCACCTATCGCTCATATAGGCCTTTGGTGTGGTAATCTTGAAATAGACTTTTGCAATCGGCTTCATTACAAAATGCAGAACTGAGAGACTAGTGCAGATCAAATGACAGCAGACTGGGAATACTCGCGTAGTTGCATCCATAATTATTATATTGTATTAAAATAAACTGGTACGGGAATTAACCTGTTTCTCCTCTTTCCCTTCTTCTCTCTTTACAGACAAGCAGCACCGTCTGCGGCTGGTCCTCTCGGGAGCGATAGAGGGTATGAATTACGAAAAGATTCGCGTGGCAGACCCCAAGTCGGGCGTATCTCTCCTGGCGCACGGCTGGTCGCGCGGTCACACCGCCTATCTCCTCTGCGCAGCGAGTAGCAGTATTAGTGGTGTGTGGGTGTATGAGGTGGTACGAGAAGCCTCACGGCACCGCCGCCTCCTCGAACTCCCCCCACCCCCCTCCGCCTCGCAAATCCAGGCCCTCTGTCTCGTCCGTGATGGCGATTGTCTGGCTGTCGGCTTCGAGAGTGCCTTCGTAATCTACAATGTCTGGTCCCATGGGACCATCAATGGTGTGTCTCTTCTTTGTTGGTCAAATAATGCTTGTGCAGTTCTAGGTACTTTTTAATTACAGTGATGAATAAGTCTTGACTGTCACTTCACAAAAGCGATAACTTTCAGCAACTGTTAATCATGGATGTGTGTGAGGTTACTGTTTAGGGTTGACATGTTTTATTAAATAGTTAACTAATAAATGTGTCTAGTTAGGGATAGGCTGCTAAAGTTCCGCCTGCATGATCTCATTCGGGATCAATAATGCTCCCTTCAAAGTGTCTTCGCTGTGGTAATCGTCAAAATCAAGCTGTGTATTATAGAGTTTAAATAGCTAAATTTTTGAACATTATTAATCACTACAATGGGGAAAAATTGCTTTGTTGGTTCGCAAATGTAATTGGGAAGGATCCTTATTGAAGCTTTTCTGGTGTTTTTTACTGTAGAACTGTGGAATTACCTATGTGAAAATCGTTTATAATATGAAGAGTTAGTATCCTTCGGTGAATCACTTCTCGAGTTTAGACACTCAGCATTGTCATCATTTTCATTTTTACTACCCTTCAGTTCTCTTGGAACCCTCGTGCATCGATCTGGACCCGAGTTTGTTGATGTTCCGTCAAAACCGATTTGCAGCACAACTGGCCGTCTCTGTGAACGTCGATGAATTTCTTCTCGTCTTCGAAAGTAAGTTAACTGGCCCATTTATGGCACTAAATTTCATTTTTTTTTTTTAATGGTGAATTTGTCTAAATCAGTGACAGAATTGGTAGCTTGATGTTCTATCTCTGACGTATACAGGTTTGTGGACACATGTCTAAAATTAGTAGTTTAGATCCGGGAGCTTTCGACAGTTAATTTGCTTTCTCTTGGCTAACAATTAGGTGCGTCAGTGACAACAAATTCATTTACATTATCGTGCGTTGAAATTTTTATGCATGAACAGAACATGGCAGCTCCGGGTAACTTGACGTTTTGTTTTATCATCATATCCCGTATCTGCTTGTACGTTACTCATCCTGGTCTCTCTAATAGTAGAGGCGATTTCTGAAATACAGAGGTTATGCATTCACCTATTTTAACATTTCAGCAGCTCAGTTCCAAGTACCAGTCTCTGTTAATTATGGTGTCACTAAATATCTCTCCTTTTTCCTTTTACCAGACTGTGGGATCTACGTAGACAGTCAGGGACAGTTGACACGTCAAGTTTACCTCTTCTGGCCAGCCAAACCATTACCCCACGGCTTCGCCCTCCGCCAACCATTCCTTTACGTCTTCACAGAAGCAGGTCTCTTCCTCTTCAACGTAGAGACTTCAACATGGAGCGCCTCTGCTGCGGGTTTACGTCGTCTCCGCCCTCTCAACACCTCTGACGGTCACCTCTGTCTCATGACGCATTCAAGTATCCAAGGCCTCTCCAAGTTGGTCAACAGTGGCGGCAGTAGCAGTAGTGGTAGTGCTAACGGGGGTAGCAGTAGTGGCAACGTTAGTGGTATTGGTATCGGCGGGTTCAGTGGCACCGCTAACGCCTCTCTAGTCTACCTCCCACCTCCGAGACAATCAATGTTCGCCTCTGTGCAGCGGCGCAGAACTAATGCTTCCCTCCTCACCTCCTCGCCTCTCACCCGACCTCTGGGTGTAGGTGGCAGTGGCATAGAGAGGCAGCTGGAATTGAACAATGTCACCCTCCTGGATGCCAATACTAGGGCTCGGGTGAGTAAGACAATCTGTAGTGTGGATCTTTTCAAAGTAAATATCCACTTATTAAAAAGTATTAGAGGAGTTAGCCTAGCTACTCGTGCGCAGTGTCGCTGCCTCTTCTTGCTTTGGGTATGAGTTAGCCTTCAGCTTAATGTCCATTTGGCTTCATTTTTGTGTGAAAGTCCCTCAGAAAAATAGACGATTTTTGTAATTCAACTTCTTTAAGCATTATATTACCTTGATGTCTAAATGGGACATCAAAAGTAGTGCATCGGGATCAATTTTTAAGGCAGACTTGCTTTTTGCCAGAAAGTGTCGACTGAACCGTAACTGATGTCACTGCTCCCATGATTGACCATTTTTGTAAGCTTCCATTTACAAATTTAAAAATACAACTTTTATAACTTCCAAATTTTCGCGTTTATAATTGCATCAGATGATTTACATGTTTCACACTGTAGTTTCAAATTCAGCGTGATCTTCTCGTGTGCTTGATCATCGGACAATGGCTAAAATGAATTATTAAAATTTTTCATTTGTCCCAATGATGTTATGCTAGAGTCTGTAAATCTATTTTCACTCTATTTATCACCTTTTAATTTACAGAATCGATGGATGGGTCTTAAACCATTGTTAATTATCGGGCAACATTAAACCTGTGTAAGGGAACAAATAGCATTTTACAATATAAGTAGATCCATTTATTGGATAAATTAAGGTGGCCTGTTAAAAGAGTTTCCTAAAAGTACCGGCCACCTTACTATGCGTGAATTGGCCAAATCTTCATACGACTGGAATTCGTCGACTCTTCGAGCTACCCGTGCTACCTTCCTGGTCCAGCTAGTTTTAGGTCGGCTCTTTCACGATTTAATAAAAAGTACTCTGCAAAAAAACTTTTCGAAAAATAAGCACGAATCGAAATTTTCGTTCAGAATTTGTAGTAACAAGGCACCCTTTCAATAACTTTTAAAATAATTGGATTTGTACATTCGATAATCCAATGCTCCAGTTGCTTTATCTTTTGTAGTGAATCGGTTCCAGTCCTGTTTTAGCCCATATTTTACTGCCAATTAAGCGTACGGCGAATGGTATTCCAAGTAATTTACAAAGATGGTAAAACTATTCATGTGTGAACCAGCATGTGCGAGTGTTAATGTCATTACTGATCAGTCATTCGGTGTGATATATTACCCCCTCCTGCGCGTTTGACAGGTTTGCATGTGCTAGCATAATACATATACCTGCGTGCATCCGTAAATACTACTATCCCCCTTCTTCCTCTCCTGCACACACACCCGCAGAAGTCGAGACACTTCTCCATCTTCTCCCGCGGTCCGCTCTTTGGTCCCCTCTTGGATTCAATGCCGTCGGACCATGGGACCACTTCGGAGGGTGGTGGTGGCGGTGGACTGGCCGCCTCCAGCACCACCACCTCGGGCTCGCGGCTCATCTCGGCCCCCTCGGACTTCCAGCATCTCGCGCACCAGGGCCCCGACGTGCGCATCCACTTTATTGATCTGGCACAGTCGCAACGCATCACCCGCTACTCTACCGGCAACTTCTCTCTCCCTGTCGAACCATCCATTGGCGCAAAAGAGCCGAGGACGCATCGCGACTCACAGGCGTCCCTGCACTCCAGCTCATCTCGTCAGTCTACTGACCAGGTGTGGTTCTTTTTCTCTCATCCGCTTACAATTGTTAGCCTTTGCTATTAATTTTGCTTTACAGTAAGTTGTTAGGACCAGGAGAGGGTTCTCCTTTATTGTCTTAATGTGAAAATGACTGGGATATGGTTTAGTAAGCTGCGATAAGTGTGTCTGATAAAATTTTTTTCTCTGAATAGCCCTTAACGTGCTGTTTCAAAGTTGTCTCTGTTAGATGCTTACAGAGATTACAAGGAACTAATTTTTGACGAATCGACTATAGTCATAAACCGCTGATACGCCCATTCTATGCTTAAATTTCGTTAGGTACTTTTCGTTAAGTGGTGTGTAGGCCTTTTTTGGTCCCACGATTAGAATGTGTTTGGAAAATTGTTTAATGCGCTATCTACTTGGCTCCATAAACTATCAAAATATATCACTCTGAAGATGTTTTCGCTTGATGACTTAATGCCTCATGTACGCCAAATTTTGCGGCATAAAATCGCTTCGCCCCTGCGTTGCAGGCCACTCTCAAAACCAGCAGCTCAGCCTAAAAAGTTCAATTTAATGTAGAAGCCATTCCATACCAGCTTTCATGAAGTATGCAACCGGGAATTTTGTAGAAATATCTATGTGTTAATTAGCATACACTGATTCTGCTTCAAATTAAATAGTTTCCGTTAAATTACGTTCGTTAGAAGTAGTAGGAAATTTCCCCTGATTTTATAACTAATACTTTTACATATTTTCCTAAAGTATAGGGCTTGAATTTAATGCAAAATAACTAACCTGCCGACATTAGTTATGTGGTCTATGTTGCTTTGGAGTGTTGTTTCTGTAGAATAACTTAAGGGCTTAGATACTTAGTTTTTTTTGAAAATAAATTGTAGGCTTAAGTATTTTCCCATACTTTGAGAGGCACTTCATGGTAGCATTATTTTTTTGCTCCTTAGCTAGTGAATGGGGCCTATTGCTGACAATTTACCCTCTATAATCTTCAAAAACTGTTGCCATTACAATAGTAACAAATATTCAAACATAAAACGTGAGCATATTCACAGATGGAAACTCATGATGGTTTGTCTGTAAAATAGCCAAATGCAGGAAGCAAAAGTTTACTTCTTAATATAATTTCAGGTTAAGTCTTTGTCAAACATTATTGAGATTTGGTGAGATGAATGAATAGAGCAGCGTTATTATTTTGGGATGCAAACTCAGATTTTGTGTTCTATTGCATCGTTCTTGAGAATTTTTGGTCGTAGCAACACATCAGTTAATCGTAAGGATATTGCACAGCTCTGAAACACCTTAGACTGATGAAAGAAGGAGGATTGAGTCCTTTTTTACATCGAAATCTGCTACTGGGTAATAAGTAAGGCAGTTGGGTAGTTGCTCTCAAGCTAGCCGGGAATTCAAGCCAGCGCAACTAACCTTCATTCGTTAAACACTGATGAAGACGTTCATTCATTTAATGTGCCGTCGATCTGAAGTACAAATTAAAAATCCAGAGATGGAGAACAAAGTAAGGGAGAGACTTTCTATTTTGCCACTTCATACTTATCCTTATCCTCTGCTTTCGGTTTTTCAGAGCTGATGCTCGGTAGGTAATCTACGAAAATATCTTTTTGGCCCCACCAAAGTACTTACACCCAAAGTCCCTCTCCCTCTACTAAATTTTCTTTCCCCTCAGTGTGTGACTTTGATTGAGTGCATTCACATTAGCTTGTCTCGCGATTTTATTTGTTTTACTCCTACATTGAGGCTTCTTTCTCGACCAACTTCCCTCTTTCACTTTCTCCTTAAAGAGCGTTAATCGGAGGAAAGGTGAAGTCATACACTGTGTGTGTTTTCCTATTTCCGTCCAAAAATATACTAACCTACCCGCCAGGAAACACTTCCGTTGTTTTTGATTCTTTGTCCGGTACTTTGAATCGGTTGTCAGTAAAGAAACCTTTTTCCCTCTGGTTTTTTCTCCCTCAAGTAGGAGCCGAAATTTTTCACAATGAACGGTTAAAATATACCCTCTTCGTCCCGTTTTTTTTCTCGAGACCGAAAAAATCACACAAATTAATAGGCCTTAAATTTATTAACGGAGGAATACCACCACCTCATTGCCTTTGTAGCGGGTTGAAATGACGATACGGCAAACTGTTTAGCAGTGTTTTAATCTATGCTCAACTTTAAAGATGACCAAACGTCTAGTTGAATTGAATCTACTTGGAACTTCACCCAGTACGCGGGCTGTCCAGTCAGTGTAGCATTTATCAAAACGACTGTGCTCTCTCGGATGCGTGAATCATCTCTGCACGAGTCAAGCTAATGCGAATGAGCAATGTCGCCTCCTTCCTACCTTTTATTTTTGTTGAAATATCACTTCACTTTCTCCTGGTATTGGCCTCCCCACTATTCTCATCGTTTGTACGTGATGTTTTCACTATCCTTTTGCATTTGACGTCAATGATCGGTTAGATTCGAAGTCGATGGGATTGTGTCGAATTTTTTAATGCACCCTATATTTAAAAGTGGACGGTGAATAGTAGAATCACAACGATATGCAATTCAACCTAACCAATAAACATCAATTAAATCATTCCTACAAACTGCTGCCCAGAGTTCACCTGAACTCGCAGTTGTTGAGGCGCAATCGCGATTCCATCCCCATTAGGATACTGACAGCAGTGCCAATCATGGAAGTGGGTTAGTGGTGTTTGCTCCTCCAACCCAAAAGACAGGCGTGATTCTGATGTGGGTGAATCATAGTTGCCGTGGTTGTGTACGCAGTCTTGTGATTGAATCAATGGATAATTAACAAAGGGGAGAGCGTTACTAAGACCCGTCCTCCTCGCATGTCTGCGTGACAATACCGTACCCTTCAAATACTACTAAAATCACTACAACTTTCACTGATATAGCGCTTGAGGGGTGTGTGTGGATTGTTTAAATTACCTTTTCTTCCAACCCATGTCCATTACGTTTTAACAATGGATTCTCCTTTTCCAGTCTTTGGGTGAACCCGAAGGCTCAGTCGAGCCGATATCACTAAGCCTTCCGCTATCCACCTCTGCTCCTGGTGGTGCTCCTGCAGGTGACATGGGCGAGGAGGCTATCACTCCCTCTGCATCGTCCAATACTCCCAACAGCCATCACCACCAACATCATGTGCCGCTGACGTCATCACCACAGTCGACCCACCGGCCGACACCACCGCTTGACTCCCCTTGCTTTCGTGATAAAGTGCTTGCCCTCTTCCACACCGTGAGTTCCTTTTCTTTTGCACACCGCATTTTATGAGTTGGCTAGAATGTCTGATTTTGGATGGAAGTGGGGTGTTTTTGGTTATGCTTTTCCGCCCTGGCAGCATTATCAAGTGTACTTTTGGATAAAACTTTATTTGTAAACATGTAGAGAAAAGCTGGTGGGCCAGTAGTAACTCCATCTCACCGAGATGATGATCGAAATCTACGGAGGCTGAAGAGCCATTGCGAATATATGCTTAGCTTCAGCAAATATCGTTCTGATACATTATTAATGTAAAAGAGGCTCATCTGTTTGCATGTCTGAATTAGCCAGACTGCTATTGATGGTTCAGTCCTTACTTTATCCACTAGTTTTGACCTAAACTCATTCTTTTAGGAGCTAAATTGTATCTTAACTAAGGAGAGGAAGATGAAAGCAGTGTGCCATTTGTCATGGAATGTCAACTTTCCTATCTCCAGCCAAAATTTACACAGTGGATATAGTCCAGTGCTATTTTTTGACTGCCACTATCCCTTTAAACGTACTAGTTTTAACTCGTTCGACAGAATCAAAATCGTCTGTTGAAATGTGTGTCTATTGTCAAGGATGTACTTCATTGAGTATCTTAGTTTTGGCTGATTTGATTGTTAAGAGACGTCTTCTAAAAACAATTCTTACTCAAACCATTGACCAGCTTACTATCTCATGCATTTACTCATTGAGAGCCACACGCTTACAGTGCTAGCACTTTGCTGTGTTGCTAGCATTAGTTTTACAACAAGTACATCGGGTAGGCATGATTTTTTGTTCGTGTCCCTATACTTTCTTGAAAATGCTCCCAAGGAAAATGGCTTAAAAATAAACACTTTCATAATTTAACACTAGAGGCGGTGGGAGCTCTCGAAATCCATGCCAATTAGTTAATAGATTAGCTGTTGCCATTGGACTACCTATCATGGGAGTCCCTTCGAGGTGTTGGAAGCAAAGCTTGCGATTGTGTGCAAAATGTTTTATTGGACAATCCCACTGTGTGCGTGACTAAAGTAGGCGCGTCGGCTAGCCCTGCTAGGTTCTACTTTTACCTAATCCATCGTATCCACTACCTTGATTTCGTTTTTTAGACGGATGTTATGAGTTGAGTCCGACCTTGCCAGTCAAGCACTTCGTACTTCAGTGTTTCGAGTTACGAACTGCGTTGTTGCATCAATGGAGGGTGCAAAATAAGACCGTCTTGTTTTAGGTGGAAGGACGTTAGCGGCCAAAGTAAATGCACCTTCCAAACATTATTGTTGTTGCACCTTCAGAGTGGAACCGTCGAAGTGCTGTGGCCTCTCATGGTCTTTTTACAAACTCTTCTTCGTCGAAGCCAGTTTTCTAAATCTGCCCCTGTGTCACTAAATATCTCGGGCTATGCTAAAGGCGTTTTAAGAGATGTGACATTCGCACTTTCTGTTACATCCCAGAAGATTGCTTTCTCTTAGAAAGCCACACGGTAGATGTATGAGCAAGTGCTATCTCAGTGAGAAGGTTTCTAAAATGTGGGAATTTCTGGCGATGGCAGAACAACCAAAGTGGGTGGATGGTATCGTTATTCCCACCATTACGCTATCCATATCTACTGTCTGATCTTTTTAATCTTACCGCCATACCGATCTCGTACTGTCTCATTCTCGTAAATAGACTCGAAGCAACTCCAGCCAATTCATTACTTTATTTTCCAAATTTATGCAAATATTTCCTCTTTAGCGCGAAAATTTCGTCTGAATGTTTACTGCGAAAAATACTTCCGTTTTTTCATTTCTAATGTTTATCTACGCTTCATTAATATTTTATGTCAAGCTACAATCATTAGGGAAGGAAAGAAAGCTGTAAATCAATGCCACTTTGCACTTTATTACTAGTGACGGTACGTTGAACCGAGGCCAAGCAGATCTCTGCCAGTCCTTTTATGACTCTACGTTTCTAAAACGAACTGTCAACCTCTGATGAATGCATAAGCCTGACATCTGTGGGGGGTGTTAAGTACTACATCCTATCGTTTTGCTCCGTAAACAATTAAATACTACTTCTTCCCGATTTATGCATTACCAGATGTAAATTTGCTCCGGGCATGGCATCCCGGTTGTCACTAGTCATCTCAATTTTTAAAGTGGCTTTTACGGCTGTAAAATCAGCTTAGATACTTCAGTGACAGACCGATGTGGATCACTTAACCTGTGTTTCTCTTTGCATGCATTTGACCCATGCTTAAATAGACGAATGGGTGGATTACCGGGTGCTCTACCCTCTTTCTGAGTCAGCACTCAGGATACTGTCTATGCGACACCACTATTTTGCCCCAGTCTAAAATGGAAGCCTGATCATTTTGTCTCACGTTTGGTTGAACCTCACGATAGCTTCATGTCTTTGTGCACGCACATATTATATTTCGTCTGTCTGTCAATGGTCTTCGTACCGAATTTGAGTTACGCCTTCGATTGGTGAACCAAAGACTGGACTTTTTATATTTGGCCATATAAAAACGATCACATTAAAGGCTAGTACCTGGACATTCAGACAGTATGTATGTCCATTTTGCTTTGGCATTTGCGGCTACCTAGAAATGTCAAACACCGATTGATGCTGTCTGCTTGATCTGTCTCAAGTCGTAGAAAGATGTTTGAAATAAAGCCCAATTCTACTTGGATTTTTCGAAGTTTTGGACTTTTCCATAAAATTGATAAAAAACGCTATTCGTTGGCACAACTGCCCGAATTCATGAGTGTTTGACTCGCTAATTCTTCGTGTTTATTCGATCCGCTTCCGGATCAGTTTCTGTAGTCTAAGCCAAAGTCAACCACATGCCAATGTATGAGTATCATTATTACGTTATGAGTGAATAATATAGTAGCATGATTAGTGAAATCGAACCTGGGACCCAGGGAGGGCTAAGGATATGGCGAAAAGTAGATAGGCAGTTCAGCCAGAATATAATGGCTGTTTTAACTATCTTCCACATTACGGGAATCTTTTTTAGTCTTCCGTTATTTTGCGTCAACGCCTACCATCTTGCTAGTAGGCTTTTCAGACCAAAATAAATCCTCACTTCTTTGTCACAATTTGGCTCAATGTTTCTAACAATTGAGATTCATTAAATAAGAAAGGGAAATGTTAAATTGGGTTGAGTATCACCAAAAAAACTTATTTTCCCTCCCTTTTTTGCAGCTGGACAGCGACACGTTGCCTAACCTAAACAATCCCGCCACCCCAACCGAGGAAGTGCCGACCTCGACCTAAACACTCCACGCCGGCTCTAATCCCTCGATCTCTCCCACCTCCGTGTACATTCATACCCACCCACACACATATGTTACCGTAACTATTACTACTGCTTCTCATTCGGCTTGGCCTTGCCACCCCCCCCCCCTCTCTCTCCTCTACACTTACACACTGACCAACTGTGAAGTTGCGTAGCCACCCCGACTTGCCTCAGTCCTCTTCCCTTCCTGTCCAACGTTTATGGCGCTCTTCCCGTGCTTTTATTTAGACTTCTCCAGTCTAGGGTACTTTTTATCATTTACAAAACATCCGGCCTCGTTTCCGCCGACTTTGCGTGCTATCTTCCTCTTTCCTCCCCCCGTATTTCGTCGAATCGGTGTTTAAAATTTGCTGTGGGAGGGAGCTTGGGGAAATCCCAGGTCCTAGGCCTTCGGGAGGGGCCATTATTTTTCTCCCTTGGAGTTATCTAGTGTAGGCATTAATTTCTACAATGGGGAACCAGTGGCCTTTGATGCCACTGTAAAGTAGTTTCGACTTTTGGTGTGCACCGCTCTGTATGGGTATCTTGTCCAAGGTTAGATTAGTTTGCATTGCTAAGTTAAGGCTATCCAAGATTTACCAGTTAGGGTCATGCCAGGGCTGAGCGAATAAATTACAAAAAGTCCTTTGGGATTATTGTCCGTCTGTCTCTTTGTGAAGCTATTTTTATTGGCCTAACCTTAATGTCAGGCCGTAGAGTAGGCACGAAATCCGTTTCTGGGGTGGAATGATTATTTGTGGTGCCAAATGCTTGCGACGGGTTTTGCCTGGAAATCTGGATAAGTATTTTCAAAATAGAACACATAAATGTCTTGAATTAAAATTCAATGCAAATTACTGAAACTATTTTCAATTTGGAATTGAGAAACTTCTCGACTCCTACTTTTGAGAATTTCAAAGATTTGCGCTAAAACGACAGGATGGTTATCAGACTGTTATGGCATTTGAAGCGAAAATACCATTCCTAGACTTACGGTGCATTTGAGGTAGGTAAAGAGGAGTAAATCTTAATAAATAAATCTGATTACATCACTTTTCACTTTTGTAATAGAGTGAGGTGTTTCGATTTCGATATGCAAATATCTAAAAAGGAACCATTAACAATGCCCTAAAGTCAGATTAGTACTTTACCAGTATCTTGGTTGACTTATTAAATTCCAGGAATTTTAAGTGCGACAGATAATATAGGTACGTACAGGAAAGCAGCACACGCCATGAAAGCGTAAACATAAATCCCTAACATTCGTTATTACTTTGACAAATGAAATTTTCAAATACCCCTAGCTAGTGGCTAGTAATGGGCTGGTTCAAATTATTTAAAATTAAACCGAAAGAATTTAGCAATGTTATAACCTATTTTTACCCATCCTAGGGATGTGATGAATGTAAATCAGTTGCTCAGACGCTCAATTTCAGCGCTTATTTTAATTACCACGGGAATGAATACTCCCAAAGCCGATACAAATTACTTGTTGCATGCCGCAAATCTAAAAATAGATGAAGTAAAAGCAAAGCTTAACTTACTTGGTAAAATGTGCTTGTTATATGTGTCAAGAGGGCGATCGAAAGGCATATTACGAAAGCGCCTTACAGGCCCTAACCGATGGTAAAAAGAAAATAGTTGAAATACGACTTGAAAATGCAAACCTAAGAAACACACTAAGGGAGAAACTTGCGGTACAAGTGGTTTTAAACCGGATTATCTTGTTAGGCAGATGAACATATTATTAACCAAGTTTTTCAAACTAAACCGGAAGAGCGAGCAATGCTCAGCAATAAGTCCAGTATTGTACGTTAAACCTAGGTAGTTATAAAATCTAAGGAAGCTCTGGATACAATGGATTATCACACCTGTGATGCAATGAAAAGACTGAATGCGCTGCGGCATCAGACCAATAAGAAAATTGAAAATCTTAATCATCTAAAGCGCAAATATTGCGAGACCTATGATGCAAAAATCCAACTGGATAATATACTGAACATCAGCGGTGTGGGAAAGGTCTTAAGAGATCTTGACAATCGACTTGACAAAGCAAAGCTAAAATGTGAAGAAGCTGACCACATCTATCGCGCATATAAGCAAATCAAAGAAAAATTGGAAGAGGTATGAATTTTAAGAGGATTTTTATGCATCTAGGAACAATTAACTTTTCCTTCTTGTCTAGAAAATCTTGAAAACCAAATTAAAGACTCCAAGAAGGAGTTAGAAAAGCTTCAACGAATGCACTATGACGCCATGCTAGCCAAAGACTCTGCACTAAGGGAGCTAAAATTTAGGGAGGAGAAAAATAAAAACGACCGGAGACGGCGAGATATTGAAATTTCTGCCCTACGAAAAGTTGCTGAAGATAAACGAAGCGAAGCGGATTTTGGCGAGAAAAAGCTGGTATGCCTTCTCTTAAACTATCATACATTATGACCCACGAGTAAATTTTGTATGTTGATAATAATGACAATTTATATTTAAATGCGCATTCATAGTTTTTTTCCAAAATGTTTGCTTCAGTGATGCTCTTTGTTCGCTTTGACTAAGCTTTGCTTACATTCAAAACTCAAAGGGATTATAACACCTGAAGGTGTTTTTGGTACCTTACTTCCCTTTGTCATAGTGTAAAACCCACTCCTTATTTCTACCCATTTCAATTCAACATAGTAGCTGTATACATTAATGTTTGTGGATCTTAGATGACTGTCTCTTCCTCAGAGGATGGTCACAGTTACTCGCCTTACGGTGCTTTTGGTCCAAAGGAGGAACAACTGCAAAAGATTAAAATGTACGAAGACATGTATCGCAAGATTCGTGATGTCACAGGAGTACAAGATGTGGTTAAAATGGTGGCTCGATTCGAATCACAGCTTGAAACGATGGAACATCTGAATACGCTGAAAACTGAGGGCGAGACAGTAATAGCTGAACTGCAAAGTCAGTTCAAGAATTTAAAAATGGAACTGGACGATCTTAAGTACACAGGCGAGTCCGAATTAGAGGGGTACGTTGTCCAAATTGATTAAAATATATTTTATTGATAAGTATTTAAGTAACAATGTTGCTTTATAGTAACCAGAAGTTGGTCAAGGAGTACGAGGAGAAAGTGAAGGAGGTGACGGCGGAGCGTGATGCGCTTCAGCAACAACTGGACGAAGTGAGTAGCCTCATAGTTCATTGCAAAGCCGGAATGATCCACATCTGTGAGAAGTTGGAGGACGTGGATGTGCCCATTCCCGAGGTGGATAAGCCGGTATCGCCAGCTGAGGGTGCGGACGCCTCGGCCACCAAATTGGCCGAAGACGGCAGTGGCGGTGTGGAGAGGATAAGGGAATCTGAGCGATCCGACGAAACGATCGCATTAATCAGCCTATGCTTGGAGAAGGTGAAAGGTCTCCTCGAGTCAATAAAACGCTATGATTACGATAAGAAGATCGACAAAATACAGGAGACCGCAGTAAGTTTTGTTCCGAGTCGGAACCCTATATGACATGAATTTCACACCATTTAAACATTTTGCTTAATTGGCCATTATACTTGAGTTTTGCTTCCAATTGTTTCTAGTTTTTATTTATTTTAGTTTACTTACAATCATTTAAGTGGATTAATATCGACGGGTTACGAGGAGTCATAAGCGTCATGCAAAATTCCTTGTGATGCATTTAAATTATGAGGTGACAGACGATTAGAGCTATGTGCTTATTCGCCTCTCTTATTGTGAAAATCTGGCGGAAAGGGGAGGTGTCAAATAAACACGATTTTCCTTGTGACAGTCTTTAATCAGGTTCTGTCTAACCATCGTTTAGAGACGGATGATCCTCAGCACGAGCGAGGTGAGTCTCATTCAACGTTTTCTCCCATTTTTCAAAATTTCATCAGCGGTCCTGATATCGTTTGTTTGAAGTCGCGGTTCATGGCATTGTTTCAGCAAACTGCTGCCAATCAACTTCGGTTTTTTGCGTAAAATTTTAGTTCTTTGGGGCTACAGAGGCCAAAGTACCAGAATTCAACATGCGAGTCCCTCCCTCTCAA